CTCATTTAACTTTCATCACAGTGCTCTGGAGATATCTGTTTCTGGTAAATGATTGAAATTGGGGGACAATGCCGGAGACTCGGCGATCAGTTAAAAGAGCTGGAAGTCCTTTGAAATCTTTCAACTGCTGCGTAGAGCTGATTTTGTCACACCGATGTTGCATAGGTATTTTGTTATGATACGTATAAGTCATCATCATCATCAGATTTTAGACGAAATTTTCTTATAGATAAACGTCCTGAAGGTCAATTCAAGACAATATCGAGACGAATATTCGATCTGTAGCTATATTCGTGCGGTTTTCCAAGAGATGGCATATATGAACATAGTTATAAACTTAATATTTAAGGTCTTTATATAACTTCGAAGTTGCATAAATGAAATTTTTCAACATTTGATTTTAACTGTATTCCCCTCCACCATTTCTAAAGCAACTATACAGAAATATGTATGAGAGAAATTTATAAACAAATCGAATTGTGTTCATTGTTCTCCCAGCGAGTAAAGATTGAACTACTAAGCATCCTCGAGAGAGCCGATAAGAGAGAGCAGCAGTAAGTGAGTATAAACTTCATGCGTAAGCTTCGGCGCCTAAAAACAGTTTCAATGAATGGCAAATATATGCATACATAAGCCTAATTATCCCCACGCCTAGTGCATTTACCGCCACCCAGCACCTCACCACAATGCATCAATCGCTTGCCCAACTACTACACACTCACACACACAACACAATTCGACTGACATCAGAGAATGCGTCCTGCGCTTGCAAATGAGCGCCCATAAAGGACACATTAGTGGTAAACGGCGATGCAATAATAAAAGGCACACAATGGCTAAGGATGCGCACAGTCATCTCGTGAACGTCCTGGCGACAACATCAACGCGCAGCAGCTAAAACAAACGTTAAATCGTTACAGCTCGCTTAGGTTGTATTATTTAAGCGCCTTTTTTTTGTGTGAAACTAATTTAAATTTCGGTGAAAAAATGGCGGGTCCATTTCTGTCACCTTTACCGGGCGATCTCTTAACCGAGTATATGTTCGGTCGGCGACGTCAACGACGTAATCGCACAACGTTTACACCTCAGCAATTGCAAGAGCTCGAGGCGCTCTTCCAGAAAACACACTATCCCGATGTGTTCCTACGCGAGGAAGTGGCGCTGCGGATCAGTTTGAGTGAAGCACGTGTACAGGTGAAGCACCACATGGGTTTTTAATTTAACAACTATTTTAACAAAATATGAAGAGTGAAGCCGGAATTTGATAAAATAAAAATCTTCTTAAATAATGAATTAATAGTGGATCTCTAAGTTTATACAGAAATAGTGATTTCAGAAACGAAAACTTTGAAACAACACTCCTGGATTAGAGCCCTATGTCGCACAACGAAAATCTCTACGATAAATGAAAACATTTTTAAAAGAAAATGTTCCAAACTTCTTTATGAAAATCACAAAATTCCAGTTTCGGAAACAAATCGTACAAAATTTCATAAAAAAAATCATAATACGAGTTTAGTGGGCCGTGAAAATATTTATCGTAAATTATAAGAATATTTCTTTAAAATATTTCTTAAAAATATTTTTAAGATTTTTTTATATGAAACAATTTCGGTTTGGCATTTCTTTCTTTGGTCCTGTTTTTCAATTGCACAATTATTACTTTGTTGATGTGAATTATTTTCTTAATATTTATATAAATTTCCAATGTCAATTGGGATCATGTTATTAAAGTAAAATAAAAGAAATGTTTTATGATATATTTTTTTAACAAATATTTTTACATTCATTAAACTTAATACAACTACACATTTTAATAAAGACAGTGATCTGAATCTCTCTAAGTAGTTCCAATTTGTGAAAATCGTTGTTTTTTGGATTATAGTCTAAACAACGAAAATAAAAAGACAATCGTTCAAAAACTCCGACATTTAATATAAATCAATGTCAAAATTACTTCGAATTCGGTTCTCAAAAGAATCGACATTCTATTTTTTAAAGTGGTCCTCATAATAATTAAAAAAGTACTCAGAACTCAGTATTTAGACTAGCTTTTGAGTTCTATAGATAGCAACATTAATTTTAAAGGACACGGAAATAACCGTAGGTAATCTACGGAAATCTAGTAGGCACTGGAAATAGTACACATCGCCCTGAATCCAGTTTCTAGAATCGATCCAAGTGTCAAAACTGCTAAAACTACAAGTACATTATTGAGTGACGGTAAATTTCATTTAGAAAGCAGAAACCTTAAATTTTTATCGAGATATAACACGTAATATAATATTTTATATACATTTTTCCTAAATTATTGCTATCAAATTTTTTTGTTTCGCTGAAAAAACATTTCTTAAAAAGGTTACTTGGAAACGACCGTGGTACTCTGAAAATATCTACCTATCCTTAAAGGAATGGATATAGAATCGATCTTCTTGAATAATCCTATAATATTATTGAAATAAAAACAATTAATCGTGAGTTACGGCCTCCTGAAAAGATTTTCCGATCTTAAAAGATCTAATGCCGAATAACTCAATCCTCTAAAGTACTCGATATTTTCTTTATTATTATCAAATAAACAATATTTTTTAAACATGACTTTCAATATTAACATCAGAATACATCCCGAAAGATTTTTTAAAAGAACGGAAGCCGTTAATTTCTAATCGGCAGCAAGTAAGAGATGTTTTTTTACGAAGAAAGTAGCCTCATATAGAAACTAATTGTATAATATTATATAACAAATATTAGGTGAAGCTTATAATTCGATTCATAAGCAAAAGGGTCTGCAACTACGAGTACTTCCCTGTCATTTTCTCAAATTATTTTATGTCTTTCGAAGCAGTTAAAACAAAGCCATCTACTCCAAGATGTTCTTTATAATTTTTGATCGCGCTAATTTTTTCCGCGAGAGTGTTATGTGCGAGTACTTGAGGAAAATAGAAACCTGTCTGCGTTAAAGACAGTTCCTTTGTAGTCAAATTGAAACCTCTGTATTTATAATTCGAATAAGCTATACAGGACTTTACTACGATACATTGGTGTTAGGTTACATACAAGTATAAAAAACTTTGGTTAGACTCTCTATATTAGTCCGGCTGTACTAGCTCTCTTTGAAATTATTCTAACCTACACTCCTGTCTGTAGTAACAGTAGATTTTTTAAACAGTTTCAGTAATGGGCAATTTTCATTTTTTCCTTAAACAGGTGTGGTTCCAAAATCGAAGAGCCAAATGGCGAAAGCAGGCTCGTTTACAACTTTTACAAGATGCCTGGCGGATGCGTTGCTTGAGTTTGGGCACGCCAACTGTTATAGCGGCAGGTACCAACAATTCATAAATCTTCCAAATTTTTAATTACAAACCACTTTTACCTTTTCCACAATCAATCAGGCGATCGTGTGCCACGAATACCAGGCGCGTCAGCAATGAACGGCGCCTCACCAACGGAAATGACAGCGGAAAATCTTACCAGTGGCGCACAAACGAAGGACGGACATCTATCGTCGTCCGATTCAATGCTTGCAGGTAATGGACAATCCATGCCCAGCGATTTTACAATGATGCATCCCGCATTTCAACAACAACAGCAGCAAACACAAAAATTGGACACAGATCAAATGCAGAAGGCGAAAAATGACTCTTCTAATGGCAAAATTCTCAATGGATGCGAGAAGACTTACACGGAGTTAAAATTGTACAAAGAACATCATGGCCATGGGCTCGGTAATGCTTTGCAGGCTCATATGAATATGAATGGTTTGGGTGCGGATCCGGGTGCTATGGCTAATGCTTTGGCGCATGGTTCAGATGAAGGCTCCGATGATTCGGATTCTGAGGAGATCGACTTAACGTCAGGTTCTTGCATAGATTTCTCGAGTAATAAACAACATTTAATACAACAATCACAACAACAACCGATTGGTACAAGTGCTGCAACAAATGGAGTGCATTAATTTTGAACTCAAATCTGCTTATAAATCCTTATAAATAATTTCCGCTATGCTTAGATACCACCTATACATATGTAAATAAATAAAAAGCTAAACCTTACTATATGCAACTCTACAAAAGTTTTTCATTTAAGCGAAGAGAAGGGCTTTTTTGATATGTCTTAAATGAATGCATAATATCTCGAGAAGGTTGTGTCTAAATTTCAAGTCGATAGGTGAATCATTTACGAAGTAATGCGTGCTTTTATACTCGCCCTATGAGCGTTATACAACAGATTTCAAAACCTTAATGCGTTTTCCCTACAACTCACTTTGCTCCTCATAACTTCAAAATGACTGCACCGATCGTTTTAAAATTTTGAACATTATTTCTATTGTCTAAATACGAGGCAACGCTGGAGAAAAATTCAAATTTGTTAATATTTTTCGTTTGCAAAAACAAACTAATTAATTTTTTCGCAAAAAATCGTAGTATTTCCTTCAAAGTGCTCCCAAAAAGTGAAAAATTTAAATTTCGAAAAAGTCCCCCAGCCTTCCCTGGGTAAAACGATTATCTAACGCTACTGTATTGATCTTTTGATTCCAAATGATCCAGCACCGAGCTATGAGGGCCACCGCAATTTGACTTTTTCCGAGACGCCCCAGATTAATGCTGCCATTGCCGTATAATTAAATGTTTCTCCATGGAAATTTAGAAGAATATTCTTCAAATATCAAACTATAACTTATGTTACCTTTGTTTATTAAAAAATAGATTTTAACTGTTTCATAAAAAAAAACATTAAAATTGGACGTTGTTTTACACGAATTAACCATACTCCCCCCTTGAATGCACCGCTTTTTCAATTTATAACTTTAAAGAAGTAAAAGTAAAAAAAAATCATAAAAATAATATTTTACATTAATACTATAAATATTAGCTACACATTAAATATTTTTTTTTTTTTAATTCTAAGGATGAAATCGATTGAAGTTGTACCAGAGAACGTATATCATTTTTACGTTTTTTTACGTTCTCTGGTTGTACCAGTCAAATTTGAACAGAAATACGCCGGAAAAATGCAACCCTACAGATTGTTTATGTTTAAATTACAGATTGATTATGTTTACAGCTGTGATTAGAAATCAATTTCTTTGTTTGAATTTCATAAGTATAATAATTACTGCGATATCTCTAACGAGCAGTGCTATTAATTTTATAATACTCCAAGGAAATAATTGAAAATGATGTTTCTAATAAAAAGCTTGATTATATTACTATTCAGCAATATCATTTTAGCTGCTTCCAATACATTACCAGTTGTACTTTGGCATGGAATGGGTAAGTGGCGTACTTAGATAGAAAGTAATATCAACTCAATACATATTTCTAGGTGATACTTGCTGTCTTCCCATCAGCATGGGTGCCATAAAGAAATTAATTCAAGCGGAAACAAATGATACATACGTACGGTCATTGAAAATTGGTGGCAATATAGCGCTGGATTATGAAAGTGGTTTCTTCATACATCCCGACGATCAAGTGCGTTATGTGTGTGAACAGTTGGCCAAAGATACGCAACTAACAAACGGCTATAATGCTATTGGCTTCTCACAAGGCGGTCAGTTCTTGTAAGTATTAAATCATAATCAATATTTTATTGTTATTTATATATGTATGTATCATATTTAAAATACTGCAGGCGTGCCGTGGGGCAACGCTGCTCTTTCCCACCTATGAAAACGCTCATTACAATAGGTGGACAGCACCAAGGTGTCTTCGGCTTGCCAAAATGTCCCTCGCTTACCAGTAAGACTTGTGAACACTTACGGAAGTTATTGCGACGCGCTGCTTACAAAGAGTAAGTTAAAGAAAATAGGTTTAATTTTTCTTTTTTTTTATAGAGTTTTCTTTTAAACAGATGGATGCAGCGTGATTTAGTGCAAGCTACATATTGGCATGACCCACTGCATGAAGAGGAATATCGCCAAAAGAGTTCATTTCTTTCAAACATAAACAATGAAGTGTTTATCAATCAAACTTATATAGACAATTTAAACAAGCTCGAGAAGTGTGTACTAAATATATATGAATATGTCTACCGAAAAATTAAAGTTTCAATATTTTTGTAGATTTGTTATGGTTATGTTCATGAACGACACTATCGTACAACCGAAGGAATCGCAATGGTTCGGTTTCTACAGCCCTGGACAAGATACGATTATTCGTCCCCTAAATGAAAGTCCTGTGTATGAAGACGTAAGCTTAAAATATTGTTTGTTTTGTCGATTTGTTTTTATTATTTACCTTAACTTTTTCAGCTTGGGCTCAATCAGTTGGGCAGCGATGGTAGACTCATATATCTATCCGTTGAAGGCGATCACTTGCAAATGACAAGCAAGTGGTTTATTGAAAATATTATACCACAACTTAGCAAGAATTAAAGTAAAAAAAAACCTAAATGATCGCCAAATTCGAATTGCGCAAACGATAATACTCCATGGCGAACATTTTCTATGCTAACTTGTGATGAATACCAAATAATGTAATATGTTTTAAAAATAGAAATTAATTAGTGGAAAATTATTATCTGCATTCTTAATTGTATTGTAATATTAATTATGTGATTGTAAACTGCACTAATATTCTAAAAAATGCAATAAGAAGCGTATATTATGAATTGAAATGCAAAATTTACCTCTTTTTATTATATATGTATGTATATATAAGTAAAATATACAAAAATTATAGAAATAATCGGCATAATTGCCTACGCAAGTCTCATATAGGCATATAAGTATCGCATATGCGTTTGAGCCATATTCAAATAGTTAACCACCGCCGAATCATTTGTATAATAAGATTGAGTCCACACTAAAAACTCCAAATAACTTAAACGATGTCTGTGCTCTCAATAACCGAGACAATGTCCTCGATAAAATTACACACATGTGTGTAGGTTTGCATGTAGAGCGTGTCACGGAACGCCTTGCGATGACGCAACTCTTTAGTCAGCCACATTTTGATTTCTTCTTCGTCGAGTTCATTTAGCAGCACGTCAATATGCTCAGCATCGCCACCCGCGCCCTCTTCTGACGCTTTGGAATAATTATCTATGTACTCCTTCCATGCCGCCTTTAAAAAGGCTTCCTCGATGGTGAGCGTCAACTCTTCCCACTCATCGATGCCCGTTGAGATAATGCCACGCACATACACATAACATGTGCGTTCACGTTCCGTATTATCAAGTATTTTCTCATCGAAGTCTATGGGCGGTCTACCACGCATCTCCTCTAAAATACTTATCATCTCCACAAAGTACAGTGCACGCTTGTCGGGGCTCTCCTGCCGTAAGATAATGGCTTTCAAAGTTTCAATGCTCAAGTCCCAAGCGGGCTCGCGTGGCTTCTTTAAGCGTTGATACAGCTCCTTGAGCAGTTGTATGTCGTGATAGCGTTCGCAGCGATAGCCGGGATTGTAGAATTCGAATAGTTCCAGTTCGGTAAGTGTACGCTTGTAGGGGCAAATCACTTCGGGCAACTTAATCAACGGTGTGAGTGAGGCTAAGCGTGTGGAAATTTGGCGCACCATTGTCGTATTCGATTTATTCAAGACCTCCGTTTGGACAGCTCGAATTTTGGCAATATATTCGGTCGACGGTTTGCACTTACCGCTCAAACGCACCACAACAGCATCCATTTTGCGACAGAAAAATTGTGGATCGATTTTTAGCATCCACTTTTGTTTCGTGATGTCGGCGCGACGCGGTTGAAACTGTACTACCACATCCATGGTTTCGCCTGAAGTCAGGCGAAATGGTCTATGTTGGAAGATGAATTCATCATCGTAGGCTTTCAGTAGACCGGCATTTTTCTCAAAATATGGACGATGCACCCATTCGAAACCCAATACCCTTTTGCCCAAATTCTCCAGATGTAAGACGCGCTTAACAACTTTCTCGAAGGGCTCACACTCGAAACGCACCTCTAGCTCAACATATTTGGAGCTTCGCTTCTCGGTTAGTTGGAAAATATGATCGTTAATCCGCACACTGTATTCGGGTTGTGGCGGTGGCTCCGAAGTGGATGCTGCCTGCGCAGTTGGTTCACAAATTGAGTCTTGTGAGATGAAATGTATTTTTTCTTCACCTATATATTGTATGTCTGCGTTGTGGCGCAACGTATTCATCTTGCTGAAACTCTCACCAACAATCTGCAGTTTATCAATATCCGGATAGAATTCAATTACACGTTCTATGTCCTCGCGCTTTCGTTCGATGCGCTCCTCCAACACTTTGGATCTCAACCAATCGGACTTTTTGTGTCCGCCCTGTTCCTTCGGTTTACCCAACAGCTCTTCCTTGGTTACCAACGGCAAGCCGGTGATCTCGACTACCTTCTCGCCATCACGCTCTGCCTTCGGTAAGGTTTCACGAATTTCATTCACATGCTGGCAGGTGCTGCAATCAATATATTCTGGCAATATGGCTTCCTGCCGGTGCAATATAGTCAATGGATTCAAGCGTTCGGCGTAGTCCATTAAGCGACGCACGGTCTGTTTGTCACGTTCATCAACGGTGACTGCGCGATTGAAGAGCACCTGTGCCGGCGTCTTACCGGTTTTCTCTTGTATGTTCGTCTGCACAAGTTTGCGTTGCTCCAACATATCCTTCCAGTATTTTAGCCGGTTGTCATAACTGTATTCGGAGGCCTTTTTTGCCAGGCTGGAGCAATGTGACGAGGATAATTCCACATTGCCGCGTTTATTGTCGAATATTTGATTGACCAACTCCAAGACTATGCGTCGATTGTGCACGAAGAGTCCAGGCCGCTCCCCACCCTGTTCATGATGCTCTGTGGAGACCGAGGAGGGCGGAGAGAATGCATTGATGAAGCTGTTGAGCGCCATGTAGGATTAACTTTTACTTCTCGTGTGGTTATTATTTTATTCAGGTAATTATTTTAATTATGATTGCGCTAAGAAATCGAAAAATACCAGCAAATTTTATAGTTAACTTAAATATTTGATATAAATGGCTATGAATTAGTATATGTATATATGTATTTTAATCGAGAAAAAGTTAAAACCTCAAATGCTTACTTTTTAAATGAAAGAAGGTAGTTGATGATAAAAAAAAAAAGGTCTTAATAATGGAGTCACAATGTCAAGTAAATTTCAACGTAATCGACGAATTTCCAAGGCGATGGAAGTCGGTTGTAAATGAGTAAAGAAAACTGATTTCTTCATTTACATATTTATTTCAGTTATCGATCAGTCCAATAGCGAAGTTTCTGTCGGCTAAGTCCAAACACGTTAACGCCCAGCGTAGGCTTCTTAACACATCTCATAGTATTTGTTGTTGCAGAGCTGAGTTTTATTGTTGTTAGAGACGTTAAATTAAAATACTGATCTTTTAAAAGAGACTCTTTAAGGGCACACGCACTCAGTGGGAAATTTCGAAAAAAAAAATTTTTTTGGTTTTTTCATTTTTTGTTAGTCTTAGAAATATACCTTTAAAAGTAACATACTAAATTTTAATGAACATTTCAAAACATTTTTGAATTATAGATTTGTAAAGTATAGCCGCTCAGTACAATTAGCTCCATCAGTTTATCTTTAAACGCGGTTGTATCAAAATTACATTATTCAAATTGGTTGTAACTCGAAAACAAATCATCCGATACCCTTGATTTCTGCTTATGTGGTATATATTTCTCCGTAGAATGATTTTCCACTTTCTTAATAATATGAAAAGTGTAATGTTGGCGGACCAAAAATCACTAATTTTGGGGCAAATTCCACATTTTTTTAAATTTACATTTTTTAATAATCTTAAATCATTGTTTACAGATTTATAATGTTTTTTATTCGATTGTTTTTTCGGCGAAGGGCGCAATCATTAAAGCAGTGGAACAATTTTTGGTATTAGTAACTTGCTAAATAGCGAATAACTCGCTAAAAATTATGTTTTTTTTTTGAAATTATTTATGTATATTCATTAAGGGTGCATAAATATTATCTCAAAATTTTAACAGTAGTTTTCTTTAAAAACAATTTCCAAAAATCAACTTTATTTAAGCGATCACACTAGGTGTTTCCTTAAGTCGCAAATATATAGTAGATGTCGATTTGTTGCCCTCCAGTATTTTCCAAGATATAACGCACTTTTAACACACCCTAATAAATAGACCACTTTACATATATATTTATATAATATTAAATATTTTCTTTTGCATTTATTTATATTTCTTGGAAATATATTTATGTACTAACGGCACAAGTTATTTGCTTTTTTGTATTTATAATATAAAAATATGACAATTCCTCGTAACAAGCTTTATACAATACATACAAACAGTGATGAAATGGTATGTTACACATACACACACATTTAATAAAACAAAGATTAATTCTAACAAAATTCCATATTGCAAATCCTTAACTATGAGGAATGTTTTTTGTTTTTTACACCCTTTTGCTTGCTGCTACACATATATGCATACATATACATATGTAGACCCTACACAAGTTATATAAATATAATAATATTAAATAAAAGTAGCATATTCAATTATTTAGGAAAATTTTATCAGTATTTTAGAGTTAGAGGTAAGTAATACACGGAGATAGCACACGATGAGCGCCTCGTCTTGCAACAATAAATCACATAATTTATTAGTACAAAGAATTTAGTTATACAACAACCGATAAACGATAACTCATAAGCATACTGCAGGCTGCCTCTGGCTGTTTGTGCATTTATATACTCGCCGCACGAATTAACGTTTGCTTTTACTTATAGAGGTGATTATTACAAATATGCGTACATAGTATATACCATAAGTAGGTATGTGTGTAACAATGTGTTTAATAAAATACATATGACTAAGTGACAGAGGTGTGTTGTGTAGTCCAGTGCGTCGGTGGTTGTACATTTAGGCACACAGCGTTGTATAGGTGTGTGTGAGTTGAATGTACATCGAAAGTGCCAACCTAACTGCAACTAAAGGCATGCATCGTAAAATTATATTTGCGTGAGAAGTGACTTTTTAAGCTATGTATTTAGTTAACACTTCAATTCCTTCTGCTTTGTCGGTTTTTTGATAAATACGTAAAGATGCGTGTGTTCATGTTTGTCCATCTAATCTTGCTGCCCAGCAACAGATCATAATTTCGACTTTGGTTTGGCATTGCGCGCGAAGTAGATTTCCGGATCTTTATGTGGCTGTTGAATTTCGCGATAATTGTTCACTATCTTCTTGCTTTCATCCTTCGGACATGATTGTAAATCGCGAAATACTTGCACCTGTAAAATACGAAATAACTCGAAAAATGTTAGAATTTCGAAACGAAAAATATGCCAAGAAAATAAAGAAAAAATTGTAAGAAAGTATAGCCTATATGTTTTCAATAAAATATATTACACTGCACGACAAAGTCGACTTTTTTTCTGAGTACCAAATTGTTTGAGTGATTACATCAAAAGCAAAATATTAATGTTTTCGTTTTCGAAGTTAGCCTCCAATGTCGAAATATTTGCTTACGATGTGCGAAATTGAGCTTAGCGAAAAAATAATTTTTTGTTACTATAAAAAAAAAACAATAAACATATAAAATGGCCATCGTCTACGCTTTTCGCTTATTTCAATGCTATATTATATTGTTCTGTCAGACTTTTCTGACAGATTTTATAAGAGGTTAAAGTTGGATCTTCGAAATTTTTGTTTTTTTTATTTCAAAAAATACTGGACCAAATTTTGAAACTTTGGTATCGTCGTGTATTTTATTACGCGTTCTTTCTTCTGATGTGTGTACTTATATATTTTCTGTATAATTTTTTGGGAATATTTAAAAGAAATCTTTATTTTTATGAACGTCTGCAGGTTAGTTGTCTTTCGGTATTTATTGTTTAGAGATTTATAGTACGCTTACTACCGTTATATGGGAAGTCCAGCGTGAAGAAAAACAGATGTTTCGAAACCAAAAGCTTTGGAGACTTTTTTGGAGAGATTTTGTGGGGGTTTAATTTGATCGTAAAAAAATTGATTGTGGTATTTAGAGTGTTATTTCAATCACACTTCTACTAAAAACAATACTCCATCTTATCGATATGCTCACCTGCCCCTTGGAGACGTATATCGGCGTACGATAGATGATCCAAGTGACGCTCTCAAAGTACGGCGCTGTCGTCAACGAGCCCTTGTATGTGTAATAATGTTTGCTTAGCTCCTGCAAACCAATCCAGGACAAGCAATCTGTAAAAATTATTATAAATTTAACTTTTAGCCGCAAAAACTCATGTATGCAAATAAAATGTGTGTAACTAACCCGAATCCAGCGAAGCGTTCGTATTTATCTTCTGTACGATGCGTATGCCTTCAGTGATCTTCTTGAACTCTGGACAATCTTTGCCACCGCATGCCTGTATAAAGAAAGCCACCACCGCCAAACCGTCTGGTTTATTCTTGGCCTCAGCAAAATTGTTATACTTGGCATTGTAGTGTACGGCATGCGCCTCCATCGAGTATTTAACACCCTCCAGCGTGTGCTCACAGCCCGACTCGTCCGTGTCCGCCCAATGGAAATGTAGCTGCTCAAATATATATTTGTTGTCATGCAAGCAACCACCCTTAATGTACGGCTGTTGTTGGCGTTTGGCGAATGTCACCATCGCCGAGGTGCCGGTATTTTGGACGCGTGCTATGCCCACTGGCTCCCAATGGCCATGATATTCCAGCGGATCAACATCGTCGATATGTTCAATAGCGCGATTGCTGATTGCAATAGGAGACTGCACTGGCATCTTGTCTGTGTGTGTGTGTATGTGTAGGCGCTTATATATGCGGATTTGTGTGTGTTAGAGCGTCGTTGCAGTGTCAAATGGTACTACACGGCGTATGCGGCTATGGCTAGTGGTGACTCGACGTTGGTTGTTTCTTCTCTATGCTGAATGCTTGTGGTCGCGTGTATTCTACGTATTGTTCACTGGTTCGCTGAATTTTTTCTTCACCTTGTAGACACAAATAATGTGTTTAACGGTTAAAAATGCGTACTGCGTCGTGATGGCGAATTTTATTGGTCACACGTTCACAAAGGAAGTATCAATTGTAAGTAGCCGAGAACTGCAAAGCAAATTTTACAGCGAAAAATTATTTCAGTGCGACAACAAAACAAAAAAAAAACCACGTTTAATAATAATAATAAACTATTACAACAAATAGTAGTTTAATATAAAATATATTTTTTTTTTTTTATTTAACGGTGTACCGTTATTTTGTTATAATTGCCGGCATCAGTAGTTGTTTTGTTTACTTATACGCATTTCGTGGCACGTAATGTTTATTTTTGTATTTATTTACACCGTCTCTTAGCTATATGAATGTGTATGCGTGAGCAGCTGATGGAAATTACAGCTAACAATATACTAATACATACTTGATTGGGGGTTTATTGTACGATGACACCACTAAGTTGTCGCAAAGTAAGATAAAACCGCATAGAAAGTATCCATGGCATTAACGTGACGTGGCGTGACCAATTGACCGTACCTTTGGCGCTACTTCCACAATGTAATTTGTATTTATGTGCGCGATGCTTGCTGATAGCTCGTTTATCAATTGAATTGCTCGAGTGAAGTGCTATTATAAATTCATTCAATAACTAAGTATGTTTGCACGTACAATAATGACAGTCAACGTCGACCGTAAAGTCAGACAATGCCGAGGCGCGTCGTGTTTGTATTTACCAACTGACTTTAGATCACGCTCACTGGTATAAATTTAATATACTACCTTCCTTCAGGCGTGCGGCTAGTTATCTATTGGCAAATAGCAGTTTTTTTAATAACAACAACGAAAATTGTTTCAATGTTGTCTGATTCTAATACCGAGTAAATTAAACAAATATATACTATATATGGTAGAGGTGCTTATATACACACACAGGCATATATTTTTATCTCCGTCTAAATGAAAGATTAAATACTTATTTTCTAAGCGTTTTTTGATTACGCCGCATTAAAAAAGTAATAAAATATTAATTTCTATTATCTATTATTAAAGTAATTTGCTTTGAAAATGACGCCAAATATGACACTGTTTGTGAATTAATCATTTATCTAGCAACTATACCTAGGGTTATAAGAGTATAGCACGTGAGTAGGTGTAAATCAGTGTGTAGTCGCGAAACTGAAGATAACTGAAGCGCTAGTCCACCGTGCTTGAAGTATTATACTACAAAATATTGTGACTTTATCTTTTAAGCCACTTGCATCCGTCTATTTAAAGCATGTGAAATGTTATTAGTCACAACTAGTTTATGATTTTACGTACACTGTGATATATGGGAAGCTAGTGTGTAGTAAAACAAGAAAATACGTTAACTTCAGCTGCATCGAGATTTATTACTCTTCACAAGTGCAGTTCTTATAGTATAAAAGCGTATAGAAAAATCTTTATCGGACAGCCATGTATGCATTAGTAGTCCGATCTGTACAATATATTCGCAGATTAAAGCGTTGTCTTGCACAATTATCAAATTAAACAGTTGTCTATACAATAACTTGATTCTGATCGTTCAGTTTGTATCGGCGTGTACAAAATTTCTTCATACAATATAAACTATATAGGGTCTGCGACACTTCCGTCTGGTTGTTACAAATATCGTGACAAACCTAATATAACCCGTACAGGGTATAAAAATAGACCTTCGTAACACGATGAGTAACACCGAAAGCAGTTTCTGAACATGAACAACCTTCTGTTCAATGAACAGAAATTCGCAAACAGCTGACAGACTGTCAGTTGTGTTTATTTTTTTATCCATTCTCTGGAGATTTGAACAGTTTGGATAATAATTTGTGATTATCTCATGACGAGGTCGCCCAGAAAATAAGTATGTATGTGCAAACGATTTCGTGAATATTATCAATTAGTGAAAGTAGAAAAACTATGGAAAATCACTTAATTTTACGTTGGCAATATTTTAATTAGTCGTCTACGAGCACCAATTTTTCTGCCAGAAAGAAACCTTCAGCTTCTCATTGAAAAAAAAAATCAAATTGCGCTGTCAATTATCCTTCTTGCGCTGATTGTTTGGTTTAACGAATTCCATATAACTGTTGTCCAGTACAGAACTCAATTAGTTACCCTGAAAGAACACTCTTATTGTGTTCTATTTGTTTTAAAACATTAAACAATCAACTTCAACGATTACTTAAATTTCACACAGTTTTAATTAATACATAAATGACAATTGTATAATTTTACTTGTTAACTCAGTAGTTAATTTTTCGGAGAACTAAAAAATCACAATAATTCATAACACCTCAAAGAACCTGTTGTTAATATTTCCATCGGCTTCACGTTTGTAATGCTTTCTTCTTACTTTTATTAACAATTTGATAAACTACATTAAGCGTTTTAAGGCTATCAACATGTGTTGCTGAACACTCGCAATCTCATTTATTTCATAAAATTTATATTTCATTGTTTTTTATAACGAAAAGATAACACGGAAGTTAATTAAATAAGACTTTATTTTTAAGGCTTGTATGTGTCTTGTGTGTTTTTAGTCACCAGATAAACAAATATATTTATATTATTCGAGGTTAGCTAAAATTAAAATTTGCTTTCACTTCACTTTTGCTAGACGGTGCCATGGCCAACTGTAAACAGCGGACTTATGTACATTGCGTATACGTAACATTCACGTCTGCGAAAGCGCACTAATTTACACAAAATTTTCTTTATTGCAATGCAATTTCTGAAAAAATTTGCATTCCTCACTTTCAATTCATTACAATTTATCGATTTTGAATAACTATGCAGTACAACAACCATAAATCATATGTTACAAGAACCAAGCAAAAAAGTGAACAGCGCGCCAAATTGCAATGCGCCAGCAAGAACGTCAAACCGGCAACTGAGTAATGAAAAACACCTGATGATTCCGCGCCAACACAGACACGCGTCGCGTCAACGTCGCATTGTTGCATAAACAACACAAACATCGTTTAAACGACGAAAATAAGACAATAAAATAGCACATTGAAAATGCGAGTTGTCTCGGCAAACCGGCATTGGAAGTGCTGCTAGGTTGTCGTAGTTTTGATTAGTAATTCTCATTGATGCCATTGCGAAACGTTCGCGACTCTCTCAATTGATTCGTAGTTTTTTAATATTTAATGAATTTTCAATTATTCACCTAGTTTTTTGTTGCATGTGCACATATCACTAATTTCACTATGCAACTGGCGTGCACTTTCTACGCTTTCTATAGAACCAGCGCTCTTTGCCGGCTGGACGCACCTATGATTTGCACAAACGTTCACTCACACGCTCCAAACACGAATGCACACAACTAAGTGAGTAATTTTAAGGTTCACAATGATTTTTTGCAATTAATTATTTAATGGACGACGGTGATGGATGACATTTATTGTATTTAGTTGTTTGTTTGTTGGCATTGAATTTACACAAAGTGCCATAGGCCGTTATGCTAAGTGTAGTAGTAGTGTAGAAGTGGAGGAAATCTTACATTACGCGGTATATCAACAAATGCCACAATTATCTTATTTAAACGATAAGCTGATAAGATTTTGAAATCATTGCGGACTCTGAGTGTAATATATAATTTTCTTTTATGGTTTATTTGTTAATGAGATCATTCAACATTACATCTAAATAAAAACATATAATATATAAGGAAACAGTCATGAATGTGAGAAATGCATGAGTAAACCATTTATTTTTAAATTAAGCGTATTACTGTAAACCCGTAGTTAATATATTTAAAAAAAAATTTAATAAGGACAGCTATTCAATTTATAAACTAGAAATTTAGAAAATAAATTAACATTTTATCGTATGGATTTATAACTAATGGGCAATTTTTACTAAATTATTATTAGGGATTTTTTGTTCTACTGGCAACAATGTTTCACATCAAACGGAAATGTCAAATTGCGCTCACAATTTCCTCTGCTTTGCTGGGTCAAGCGAATGGAAGAATTTTGAAATCATTAAATAATCAACAGCTACATTTTTAATTTGATGTTTGCACAAAAAATAATTGGTTTATTATATTAATCACTATATTGGTATTTCTCCTTAGCAAAATGTTACGCAATGGGCGGCAAATTATAAGCAAAGATTTGAGAGTACAATAAATCACACCTAAATTTCTCATCATAAATAATTATATCAGTGAGAGTGAGTACCAATAAAGCAAATCTAGTTTAGTTAACCAGCTATTTGGCTGATGAAGACGTCACAGAATTTATTTATTGCAATACTATAACTGCATCATATGATCGACTATGGGGTGCCAAGTAAATAAAAAACAAAACAGGCGCACATATGCCTGGGTTTTCGATAAGCATCAGAGACAAAGTCTATTTTGAAGAGTTGGCAAATTAAACAAAAGTACTCAAATAATCCCAAAAGACGCAAGTGCTAACGCAAATAGATGTAACCTACTTGAGTTGTTATCATTTACCTTAGATAACGTCTCAGCAAAAAAGTTTAAATATTTTTTTCTGTGCGCACGTAGATGCTTCCGACAGTTCAAAATCAGCTGACCTCATTTATAAATGTTAGTATGCCCGTAAAAGTTAGAAGATAAAGAAACCTTAAAACAATAAATTTGATTTTTATAGGACTAAAAAAGTAAAATCACAAAATAAAATTAAAGAAAAAATGTCTGCAAGCGAACAAGATATCAGACCATATCAGTTGTCAGAATACAAAAGCCTAATGAATACTTGTTATCATGTATGGACCCAAGCAAAACACAATAAACAATTTTGTATTCACTCTCCTTCGGGCTTGCTATATTTTGGAGAACTTGTACATATTCTCCGAGCTGAGTCCATATCGTAATAATTATAGGAGCCACCGTTATTTTGACAGTCGTGTCCATGAAACCGAATACGAATGTTTTTTTGCTATAACAACAAAAACATACGGGTAGGACAAAAAACAGCTGATGGACAAGGATTTGAGTTTAAATGCCACTTAAACCTATTATCATCATTAAACCAAATTCATTTATACATAAACTGTATCGCGGTATATATTTTCGCTATTTGTAAAACAAATTTACAAATATACAAGTGAATAATATATGAGATACTTAAGTGTTTCATGCTTGGCAACCTCTATTCAAAACTTTCTTCATCCTCACATTGTACCTCAGACACGGGCGGCTCCATCTGGCACGCATCAATGGGATTGTATTGATTTAAGTTGACCACACGTGTGCAATTGATACTTTGCACGGGACGTGAATTGCGCAGAATGCGTGTTTTACCGTCTTTCGAGAGCAACTGACGGAATTCGTTCAACTGGCGTTCGCTAATCGCCAAAGGTTCGGGAAAGAGGAACCATTCGGCACCTTGGTAACAGGGTGGCTCAGTCAGTGAACCGCCATAACTGTAGAAGCCAGTACGAAATTGATAGAGTAGATAAGAAAGTGGAAATGGTGGAATTTCGATTTTGGAACCGGGCTTCTGTATACGATGTAAATTTTGTACAAGCGGATCCAAGTAAGGGTTATTCGCCGACACCTCGAAAAAGTAGCCAACCATGAGCAAGTCATAACTTGATGTGCAATCACCACTCGGACCGGTGCGATGCATGGCCTAAAGGAATATAGCAACATGTCTCGTATAGCCAACCGAATAAACGATAATCAATAAGATATAACCTGTAGTTCTAATGGAAATTTGCGATAATTCAGCATGTGTTCTGAGCCATCATTGCTCAGCAGACTCCAACGGAAGCACAACTCAACAAAAGTGTAACATGCCAGCAGATCAGCGCCGCTGACCGTGGGTGTATTGCCTGAAAAGCAGGCGCGCAGCACAACTGCAAGAAAGTCACTGGTTGTAGACTATTTTACAACAGCAGCAAAAGTAGTTTTAGAAACCTGTATGTCCGTTATTTTCCAGCATAATGCCATTGGGTAAATCATCGTAATGATTCCAGCAGAGTAACTCACGTATGGGAAATTTTTGCACGTTCTCATCGATTATATTTATGGGTGACTGATTCGCATCCGAGCAACGCCAATTGTGTGGTCCTTTCGGGTGTACGGTTTTGGACAAGCCGATTTCGTAGCAAATGAAAAGTTAATATATTTTTATTGTCACAAAAATTCTACCTACCATTGTCAGGGCCATAATCAAAATTCATTGAGCTATTACCTTCACCACCACCACCGCTTGTACCTGCACCACAACTGCCTCCGCGTGTCGAGGTGCCACGACCCGGATAACGAAAATCACAAATCAATTTAGCCGTATAAATGTTTGTTACGAAAACCAGCGCTATTAGTAAACTGAGCGCCATCACCACGAGTGGGTAGTCCAAAGCGCAACTGATCACATGGTAGATGCAATTGAATAGAAAATTCAGCAACGAGCACAACGAGCATTCTACCATTATGCCTTTAATGTGCGATTTAAACTTGGAATTGCAAGGAATTAAAGGTAATCCCTAACTTATTTTTATTTACAGAACACGGTTTTTATTGATTGACCAATTTGAGCGATTTGACAATAAAAAAAAATATTAAAATTAAATGAAAATAATTTCTTTGTTACAATTCGATGGAATATTTGATAACTCAATACAGTAAATGAGCACGGCAGGTATTAATATACATATACATATAGTCCGGGATTGTTTGGAGCGTGATATGAAAAATTAAACGCTACTGAATTCCTGTGCTGATAGCATGTGTTGCTTCATTTATTTATTGTTTCACTTGAACTAGTGTTTAAAACCTTCGAAAACCATTCAAAACTGTAGTAGTAAACTAAATTGTTTTAAAATCGTACTTAAAAGAAAAATTAAAAAAATATATTTCAATGAAAATGCCGCAGTATTAGTCATATCACATCTCTATTTGTGCAAGTTCAATAAACAGCTGTTTTTGTTTACAAATTAAAATTGATTGACAGAACATTCATTTTAATTCAACTGCATCGATCTTGCTATAATTGATTAAAAAGGGAAAATAATTTGCAAATATGTAGTTTCGTACATGTATGCGTACATACGGAAGCTACTTATATGCTATAGTGAACCAATATGAACAATTCGTTCGGAGAAAGTAGCGTTTCTTTGGACAAATAAAAAAAATGTCCATAAAAGAACTTCACTTTGAACGTTCAGCTTGTATCGCAGCATTATGCTATAGTAGTCCGATAACGGGAGTTTCGCAAATCAGCAGCTTCTTGGGGGGAAAAGGACGTGTGCGCACATACAGACATACATTATAAATATAAATTATTCTAGTTTTGTTTGTTGATTATTTTGTTTTAAAACAGCTGTTGCAGCTCTCTTTGGGTCTGCTTTTGAATTGAAAGTCAATACATATTTTTGCAATCAAGTTATCAAAGTGAAAATTAAATTTAAGGTTAAATGGCAAAAATGTCTAGACGACTTTAGGTGCAAGTTTTTAAGACGTTAGGATTTGTTAATTCGACAAATATTTTAACGTAGACACAATTACATTGATTTTAAATATGATCACAAAAGAAATTAACAAAATCCTTTATACAGTCTCGGATTTTTTTTAAATTAATTTTCGTCATTAATTGATATTTAATGCCATATAGGACATAAGACAATAATCATGCATCATTATACGACGAAGAAATGCAAAACCCGTTTTTCGGTAATATTCCTTAGCATGTAATAAATAATAATTAAGTTATTGAATGAGTAATTATATCTTGGGAAATTATTTAGCAATCATATAGACGATTCATTCCTAGATAATTATTGCAGTATGCGAACAGATCTAATATGGCAATTAGAAACAGCGTAAGTAGGCTAATAAGAATAACTAAGAGTAGCACAATCACTTCGGTTATTAATAAATCATGTCTAGAGTCGGATTTTACTAAAAAATTAGTTTCATAACAGCTGAAAAAAAGCCGAGCAAACTAATTTATTAAAAGTTATATATATTTACGTCAGCTGGTATTCATTTGTTTTCATAAATGTGCAATTATTAACGTGTTACTATATTTTGTGTGAAGTGAAGTCTTACTATATATATTACTTATACATACAAGTACATACATTTGTACATATGTATATGTACGTACATTCGTATACAATTATCTGGAAGCTGTCAAACTGCAGTTTTATACAGGAGACGGGCGTTAATTGTTTAAAAAACAGGCAGCTTTAAGTTAGCGTGCACGGCAAGCAATGATAAATCAAAAAGTAATCAATACTCGTATATGCTAAAATTAAATACTACGTTTTTTAGATAAAAAATACTTATAAAACAATTAGCAAGCAGCGAACTTGTGACCACATCATGATTAAATTAATCTATCAAAATTGGTTAACTATTCGCTGATATCATTCTATGATATTTTCTTTGTTTCCAGAAACTTCATATAGCAGCTCACTTAAAATTGCCATTAATGACTGACAAAATATTTGGAGATAAAGTGTAAACACACATGTGCAAATATAAAATGTATGTGCAATCCAAAAACTTTCCTCCACCGACGACGGAATTTTGATAGCTGCCTTCCGCCGCCATTCCAAATATGTACAAGTGTCTTACGTACCATTGAATGTAGCTACTTCTGTGTGACAGCGATAAACAAACATACGTGCATATATGTGTGCGTATGTTGGCCATTAAATGCAAGTGAGACTGTCTGAATTTATAGTACATGATATTTCAATGCGAGCGATAATTCAATTACACCCAAAATGTTTATTTCTTTTTTTTTTACTAAAATTGCTTGCTTATATTTTTAGACACTAATCAGTACGGGGGAAGGTGACAATTTGACGATAATGTGGAAAGCATGTAGTATTGTGCATATGCAAAGAGCGCTAAATCAGGCTTATTTTTAGAAAAAATGTTTGCGAATAGAATTTGTTTAAATCTGAAATAGCTTTGAGTGAAATGATTTTAAATTTTACTGCGTTAAAGATATTGCACTCATCTGAGTTGAAAACCAGGCACAATATCTACGTTAGCCGGTTCTAGAGCTATTCTTTCAGCTATACATAAATTTTCTCTATAAGTTGTATATATTTCCTGAGGAATATTCTATAAATAAACTTTTTGATAGTTCATTAGCGCACTCCAATATCGCAGACTGTTTCAATTATCACAGTCTAGTTTGAACAAGTACAAGCATATCGGTCAGAACCGGTAAAAATTTATTGAACTGCCTGCCATTGTATAAATGAAACGCATTCTTTAATTTGGAGCGTACACTTCAACTATTTCTATATAATTGATTAATGAACGATAAGATGTATCAACGAGTTTTCAAAGAATAATTTTCTGCACTCAATTTTCAATTTTGACAATAAAACTAAGAAATGCACATCGATCAATTGTCAGTGGGATAAAGCGAAAAATAATCAATATATGTATGTGCATTTTTATTCAAATGCTGCTCACGGTTTTGACAGCATGAATATAGATTTGTTTTAGCATACGCAACTGTCAAATTTTTAATTAAAATGAGCAGTCAGAAAAATGTGGTGAAGTACCGATGCCGAAAAAAAATTATATTTTAATTTAAAATAAAAAATTAATTTTTATTGGAGAATTTTTGTAATTTTGGAATAGAAACTAGCTACATTAATGCAACTATTGCATATTTTTATTAAACGGACATTTTCCACAATTGGTTTTTAACAGCATTGAACAAGACAACTATTTTAAGCTGATTACCCACCTAAAAGACAATGTATGGTAAACATTTTATATGGGGTTATGTTTTTGTATTTTACGCAGCCTTTCCCGAAATGTATACATACTTGTATGTAAATGCATAGGCATGGAATCACCGTAGTCAGTGTTACTTGAATTTCATCAATGATTTTGTATACATATCTACATTTACTAGCTCCTACACTTGCATACGTGCACGTAGTTTAGCGTATACCAGCTATAGTGAATCTAAATTAAAAAGCTGCTTCAAAATAATCAATGCTAGTGTGGTAGATAATGTTTGTATAGATTATTTGCAAAGTATGAGTCGAATTCGTTGTTTTTTGCAAAGCGCGTGATTTTTAAACTAGTTTTACAAAAACAAAACAAAAACGAAATTCATGGACAAAAGTGGTTTGATAATAAACAAACACGAAAAAAATAAACAATACTTACTTCGAGTAACTTCTACTTATACTTATTTTAAACGAATATTAAAATATACGAGTCTCTAGTATATATGTATGTACACATTTTTAGCCAAAATAAACACAGATGATTTTAGAAATGGGAATAAAAAAATTAAAATATGATGTTTAATCACCATCCAAAGAAAGAGTAAACTAAAAAAAAATATACAAACAACTATGGGGAACTAAAAAGCCGAACGAAAATGAAGTAGCAACTAAGCCAGTGTTTTAAATACATATTTATGCATATAATAGAAAACCAAGAGAACAAAACAAATACAAAAACTCCGTGGCCGCAAAGTGAAATCGCTGACTGGAGAGAATGTGTGGCACTTCGGCGTTTGTTGACTTGGCCAAAAAGATAACATGCTATGGCAATAGCGGAAATTAATCAATAAATTTGCGACAAGTGCAGGGTCACCGGTGGAGAGCCGGAACGTTTTTGCATTGGTGAATGACATATTTACATATAATCCTATTTTTGCACATAAGTGTATATATTTATTCAATTATGATTCAATTTACAGCCAATGTATTAGCCCGAAGAATATTTATATACAATACATAGGAGCGTATAACTTTGTTATATACAATAAATAACTGTCGTAAGTTTTTATTATAGGTGTAAATTTGTTTATTTTTGTACCTATGTATTAGCCGGTTAAGTTTTATGCTCTGCAAATACTACACCAATTATAAGCATATATATGTATAGGGTAAAATTCCATAAAAGTCCCATTAATTTGCAATATATATGTACATACGTATTTACTTATGTCGAGCATACACATACACATCTACATGTACAATTGTATTCTCAAAAAGACGAATCGTCTCATTTTAACATTGCGCTTTTAACTTTGGACTTTTAGTTACCTGTTGATTTTGTTGTTGCCGCAATTCGCTTATGTTCTCTATTTTTCCACTAAATTTTTCCGAACCTACAATTGACTTTAATTGCAATTCATGTGAAATTCCAGAATCTACAAGTTATTCCTCAAAATTTTTATTACTTCTCCGAGTTTTTTAATGCTACGACGTAGTAACTTAGTTGCGGTTTTTAATAACATATAAATTATTATTTCGATTAATTTAAAAACACTTGAAACAATTCATGTATTAACCACACTCTAACTATTGGACAATTATGCAAACTATATCTTGAAATGACAACATTCGATTTTTGACTGTTGCGCCGTCATCTGTCAATTTCCCACCTAGAATTTTGTTCAATTAGCAAAGGGAGCATGGTTGCATTGCCAAGGCACTAAAACCTAACGAAAATAAAAGCTTTGTCTGAAATTTATTATCGATCCACATAAGGTCATTTATTGGATTATACTTTAGTTATAAGATGTCCTAATTATTATTTCTATATACGAAGGAAACTAGCAAACATATATATAATCACAATGCATGAAATTTGCATTTTTAGTTACCATTTTTTTTTTTGCAGTACTTCGAACAATGAGACAAACAATTAAAATCATATTCGGAAAATATATAGCCTTGAATCATATTAGGTTTGTTTGCCATTAAAATTTATCTCCATATAATAATTGTAAATAACTTATTATTGTACTAGATTTAGAAATCTTGCAGAAATTCAGTGAGCATAAAAACTTTTCAGTTGCAGCCCTGACACTTTAGATATTGGCAATAGTGTTTTTGACTTTTTCCCATCTATTAGCCGCTGACGTATGCGCGCATGTGTGTGAGTGTGTATGCAAAGTATACGGCGAACAGATATTTTCATTGTCCGTCGGATTTCTTTTTAATAATTCTTCAAAAAGTTAAATTCCTGAAATTTTAAATCTTTCAAATAAGATAGAAATTCGTGCGAAAGAGTGGTTGTTAGCGCAATATTGTAGTTCAATAAGGTAATGATGAAAATTTCAAGTGTTTTTTTTGTAAATCGGTGATGAAGCAACAGTGACTCGCTGTTAAGCCAAGAAGAAAAGAAACGAAGTGTAAAAGAATAAGAGGTGAAATACCAAAATGAAGCTAAAGTAAAAAGTTAAATTGAATTTTGTAGTGCAAACTTCATACGCAAATTCGGCGCAAGCAAGCGTGAATAAAAGTGAATGTGTGTGATATGAAAATGAATAACTTATTCATGCAAGTTTAGCAAAGTTAATAAATTAACTGTGGTCAATTGGTGTTATAACCAAATGCATAGTTCAATTTAACCGTGAAACGCTCTCGTTGGTGATGTCTTTAGGTTGGTAATAAAAGTGATGCACCACCTTGTGAAAGTTCCAATTAATATAGCAGTATGTTTTTATGATAAACAAATGTAGAACGCATTTAAACCACTGGGTTATAAGCAGTTCTGACGTTCGGAAGTTAGATTCCGCAAGTGGTTTCCGCCGCGTAATTGCAACGCATCATAAACGTTGCTGTTGCTTTGCTTGTTTTTTAGCGACGTCTCGTGACCTCATCAGTTCGCCTCCAACGTCTGCAACACCTTTCATCCAACGATTCAGCGTTTGAGCAAGCGATATCCAAACTTATAGACAGTCCGACAGGCAAACTGTGGAGCATTTGGTATTTTCCGTTGTTTGCGATTCGGTTTTATTTTCTTCTATTATTTTCTGATCTTTTTGTTATCCACGTTTTACGTACATTCATGTATATTCACCGTCTCGCGTCTCGTTTTCCGTCTACAACACATTTGCCTGTCTGGCTGCCAGAATGAATGGTCGTTCTGTTGGCCTGTCGCTTTGCTGGTTTTGCTAACTGAGTGGCCCACCGACTGACTGACTTTGACTCTTGTCTCTTTTGTGTTGCAGTATTGTCTTCCGTTTGCTTAACTCGGTTCGGCAGTGCTTTGTAATAATACGCTGGAACTGCTGAGTTTGCAGGTAATTTATGCGAATATTTAATATAAAATATAGACTTTTGTACATTTTAATTTACTCTGGTATATATACAAAATACATGTGTATATATGTATCTGCAATCGGAAATATAATTGGCATAATTAGAGGGTGCTAGTTACACCTGTAATGTTTATATGCTTTTTTCGTTATAGAATATTTATTTGAATGAAATGCAAATTCAAACGATAAACCGTTCTTATAAGCATTTTTTTTATAAAATTCAATACCATTCTAATAATAGTCCCTGTTCATTTAAATTAATAATAAGTAACATATCAAAATATTTATTGTTATTTATGTCTGTATATATTGTTTATTACAAGTACTTACATATGCAGAAAAAATAATTTAATATTAATTATTCAAAAGTTTCTCGGGGGGAGAAAGAAGAGGGTTGCGGCGCCCCTCATAACTTGTTGCTGTATCATCCGAAATTGAAAAATCAAGGTTCATTCGTTTGATAATAGTTTTTCCCAGGTAACCATTGAAAGAAAAAAACAACTTGTTATTGTAAAATAAAAAATTGTACCAATTTGGAAATATCTCTCCGGCGTTGCCACGCAAATTATAAAATAGAAATATCTGTCGAAATTTCAAAACGGCCTTCGCAGTAGTTTTTTAGTTATGAGAGCAACGACTTTGAAAACGTGAATTGTGGGGAATACGCTTTAAAGTATTGAGGCCTGATGTAAAACGTTCATAAGGCAGGTATAAAAACACACTACAATATTTCATAAAAGGAAAATGCAAACAAATATTTTAAAACCCTACTCGCCTTTTAATTAGATAATATCTTACGTAATAAAAGCGTTTTTGTTATTATTTAAATTTATATTCTTTACTGCACGTACTAATTTGGAAAAAAAATAATAATATATAAATAGGTATATGTACATACATATATCCATGGGTAATTACCCCAATAAATATCCGTTCCCCCGGCAGTCGTGTCTAAGTAATGGAACGGACCCAGATTTTTATCCGGCCAGGGCTGTCAACTCGGCACCATTCCACGAAATTATTTCAGGAATGTTCTCTGCCGCTACTACAACAATCAGAATAAATATACAAATCAAACAATTTCTAAATTAGTAATTATTTCTATGTTAATCATATTACTAAGCTCTTAAAATACTAATAAAACCCTTTTTAATTTTCTTTTTTAGCATAAGTCACTTGCCAAATAGTGAGATTTTGGTTTTATTCTAAAGCCTGTTTTACGGAAACTACAAACATCGAAAAGAAACTACTTGGCTACTTCCACTGCGTTGGCCTTATCGGTGAACCACCTTAGAAAGAGGCATTATAATAAAAAGAAAGCACAACATACGCATAATAACAACTGATGTAAATCAGTGCCAGATACCGTCATTGTTTAAAACAGTGGCGTGAATGTTAAGCAAAAAAGTATTTTATTTATCAAAAACCAGCAAATAGCGAATGAGATATTTGATAAAAAAAGTAATAAATAAAATTTTAATTTAATTGTAACTAACCATGCCACCACCACCATATAACCACGATTAGTAGCACAGGAAGATAGAGTAAATTAAATGTGCGCCAGTATACACCACAGCCCTATAGTGGATAGAAACAAAAACAATGATCCACAAATGAATACAATCACCCAAAAGCGATATAAAAAAAAAATGTTTGCATTAGTGAAAAGTCACGACCGTTCAACAAATTAGGAATAAGAAAGACGCCATAAAATAACAAAGAGAAAATAATTTTTTTTGGTGAAGTTTTGACGTGAAAAACGGTTTAAAGAAACACAACAAATTGTCGGAAGTGTCAAAAATCGCGTAACTCAAAGACAAATGCCTGCAAATGCTAAAGTCCGTGGTGAATAAGTAGAGACACATTTTATTGTCATTTGATGAAGACAGCAAAAAATTGTCACCAGCTACATACATACATAAATAATAGACAAATGGCGGACAATGACCTACATACTAGGAGCTTAAGTCTTGCATCTTAGAATTTTTCGTTATAACGGCTATACACCAACGTCATCTTCAGCGTGCTACAGAAACAGAACTTGTGGCGGAAGTGCGTTTCGTCTGCACAATTCGTTTTAATGTCGCAGCTGCCCCCAACACAAGCCACAGCAGCCGAAGCATTGTCTAAAATAATATTTATAACGATAATGCTAAACGCCGCCAGCGAGCGGCAATCCAATGCAAAAGCGTGCAACTGATGCTACTATGCGGTGGAGCGCAGTGTGTGCGACAAACACGATAAACAAAAGCAATATTAATAACAAAGATAGCAACACTACAAAGACAATAATTAAATTATTTCCTTTTATACGTGTGTATTCGAAAGCAAATCATCGCGAATCAAATACAACAGAAAAACATTCAAATCAAACGAGACACTATGGATGAGGAACGGAAGAGACGGTTAGTACGAGTATATACATATGTATATGATAGTTTTGCTTTATTAATATGCATTTTAAATATAAGTTATTTTTTGTTGAAGAATTCCAGATTTTTTTATATTTTTTTTGCTATATTATTTCCACTACTTCCACTACAAATGTATGTATGTATATAATCTTCATATAATGTCAAGTGTAGATCTGAGAGTTTTGTTGATATTTGTTTATTTTCTCTATTGCTGCAAATTAAAATATATTTGTTTAACTGCGCAACGTTGATAAACTAAAATATTTAGACACTAATGTAATTAAATTTAATGTATATTCCTAAATGGTTCAGCAAAAAGAAAAGAACTTGTCTGATCAACTATGCCAAGTATTACACTTTTTGCCACACCTCACCAAAATATGTTCACACTTGCCCAATCTCGTAGATACTCCGAGCATTTTGTATATATTAAGCTGGTATCCATTTCAGCACGAGTGCAGTTTTTGGGCTGTGCAAATTAAGTAATTTAACTAAGCCAATGATTTTCTCACGAATTAAGCAAATAAAAATGTTCGCTTTTACGTATAACAGACGATTTGAGGAATTTAAGATAACAGTATATGGCGTTCTGAGTAAATGTTAATTACACCCAATTTCGGTTGTAAAAATATAGGGATTCTTAAATCGGTCCCTTGATTATTTATAAAAACTTATTGGCATAGAACCTGGGAGTAGGTATTTATTACTAACATTTGCTTTTTTTATTATTATTATTATTTTTTTTTTTGTATATTATTTATTTTTTGTATATTATTTATTTTTTGTTTAAGTATAACTTCAGTTGTGTGACTCATGTTTGGAGGCATGTGTGTAGCTCCCACCCCCTATTTGCCTGTTTCTAAAATATATACATATGTACATACATATGTATGTGCTTACGATAAAACCCCCCATGGCTTTGCAATTCATCACTATCGGCCAACTACGAGTTAATTAGTCCAAATCTAGTTTAATGCTCACAAATACATACATATCTATATATACATATATATATATATATATATATATATAAGCTTAAGTGTGCTCATAAGAGTTTATATAGATTTATGGATGGTTGTAGATAAAAAATGATTTGGAAACTCTAACCGCAAATGGAGTGCACACGCGTATATAACATTTACCTGTTGCGGTGCTTGCAATTTTTCGACTTTTGCAACTTTTTCGGATTTCTGTTCTTTCCATAATTCGCAACGTCGGTGTAAAAGACCATTAAAGCGCGAACCGCTCGCGCATCAACTAATTGCAAACATTGTAACTGACACTCATACACATACATACATCCGTACACGAGCGAGCAAACACCTTGCTTTATAGGTAGTTATGTGCATTGCAACAACCAAAAGAGTTATTGTACATCGAAAATGCATTTTTGAAAAATTTGTAGCAAAGAAAAAACAAAAAAAAAGAATAAATAAATTTGTTGCCGAACAAATTCTCCAAAACCAAAATAAAAACCAAATTAACTAAATAAACATAAATAAAACGAAATGAAAAGCAAGCGTAAAAATAAAATAAAAATCGCTGACGCACTCTACTTTGGCAAGCATTGAATACTGACTGTCATTATAGAAGTATGCCGCTGCGCTGCTGTCGCATCGGAGCCCAGTCAGCAAAATGGATCGGTGCGTTTGGTGACAAGCGTGTGAGCGCAAATGAGCAGCGGGACCAATCAAACGCCGCTGGACAACGGCCAACGCAACTACCACCAGCTGGCCACTGGTAGCCGAGATGCTTGGCACCCAACCAACAGCGAATAGCAATAAATAAAAGCTTCCAACGAAATTGAAAATGAATACGAAAAATTCGCGCTGAGCACCAACAAAAATGCACAGTGATGTTAGCGCGCTGCTATATAATTGCTATTGTGAACAGCGTTGCCACTTACAAAAATCTGCGCCTGTTAAATTTCTAGTAGAACTGCATATGATTTCTGCGTTTTTTTTAAGTGTATCGGAATTACACACGTCCTCTTCTCCTCAAGAAGTTGCACATATGTCGGAATCGCCGATATCGACACCACCATAGCATATGACTGTCATACAAATATAAAGTCATGTCCTTGAAAACTTGTTTATTTGGCAAGGTACCTAAGAAAATTCCGAAAATTATTCAAATCGATCGATCAAAATATCAAGTTAAATATATTTTTATACCCTATATGCTATAAGAAATACACTTGCAAAGGTTATTATAGTTTCGGTGCAGCCGAAGTTTTTTTTTTTTAATTCGAAGTAATTATTAATTTTACTCAAAGTGGCAACACCGTGCGCGGCACTGACTTTGCCTTTTAATAAATGTCGCCATTTTTGATATCAATTGAATTGAAATCTAAGTAAAATACAACAACAACAAATACATAAAATCACTTGGCTGAGCAGCTACGCGAGCAATTGACAAATTTTCGCTCTTCAACTGGACGCTGCGCAAGCGTCTTACTAGTAGGTGATGTCTTCTAGCTGCGCTGCTGGTGACTGCAGCACTGAGTCATTTTTGGTGTGTGCAAGCACGCTCGGACGCTGATCGATCTGCTGGCCGGACGACAAGTCTCTAACGCATTCGCGCATGCGCCCTCAGCGCTGCTAGTGATCGTGGTGAATAGCAAAATAATATGATAATCAAAATTTAAATTCTCTGCTTATGTATAGCAGGTGTTTGCATAAGATTGTTTAATCCTCGCATAGAATGATAGATACATCTCAAATGCAAATGTAAAATTCAAAGTGAAACATTAAATTCGATTTTCGCATTGGTGTGTTCGGCATTATGTCTTTAAGTCTGCGTAAAAAGTAACTCAAATTGAATTAAATTAAAAATAAAATAATATATTGTAAAACAAACAAATTTTAAAAAATTATGCAAGCCATTGCGTGATCGCGTGCGCGCGTGTGTAGAGCGCCAAATGTGAGTTCGGCGCGCCTCGCAATCGCGCCCTAAATCTGCTGCTCCAAATCATATCCAGCCAAGTGGCACATCATAGCGGGGACTGTGCGCCGCCTGCGTCGTGCGGCGTGCGTTTATTTATTCACCGCATTCAAAACAAACAAACAATTAAGTGAATTCGTGTGATTAAAATGCCGTTGCCACACACTAGATAGTCTGCGTGCGCTTCGTATAAACTTAAAATTAAAGCTAAAAAATAAAAAAATGAAAATAAAAATAAAAACACAACAATTAAAAAGCATTATACTTGTATTGAACATCCAATCGCCTTGGCTGCTGCCGAAAATATTTCGCGGGCAATAATATTAATATTAATACTAATAAAAATGTTTGCCAACGTCAGCCATTATGAGCGGTAATTTTCTTGTTGCTATTTTTGGCGTAAAATCATAAATTATTTGCGCTTTTGCGCGATTGCGTAAAAAATCTACAACACCAACAAAACAGTAACACTTCCATAAATATACACATCATACAATAAAAAAAATATATATGGCATCTTTTTGCATGCTTTTTATAAGCGCGCCGCACTGGCATTTTGATTGCGACCTTGAAATATTTTCCCAATTTGCGCTCGAATTGTCGTGGCGGCACACCCTGCCCAAGTGGGAGTTAACACTTTTGGGTGTTTATTAATTGGGCTCGTTACATTGATCAACAGTGCTACTTAATTTTACTTTACATTGTGCTCGGTTGCTGATGAATTTAAGGTCGGGTATATTTTCGATTACTGCGCCCATAGAATAATTATGTGAACTTGAGTGCGGTTACACAGAAGTCGCTTACTCTGAGCTTGATTTTATCAGCTGATAGCACGAGCCGTTATGTTACACTTAATGCGCAATTAACTTTAAATGAAATATTAAGATTTACAATATGTTGCTGCTATAACTTAATATCGCAACAGTTCTTTCACATGCCTCTTCTGATCACAGAGAGTTGTATTCTTACTATAACATATGATCAAATTTGACCCGGACTACCAAAACACAACATTTTCACGTATTTCAATACACATCTTTATAAACGCTGAATCCAATTCTCCATATACTTGTTATAAGCCTCGGCTAGAATAAGCTCACGTCTCCTCACCATGCGTTTGATGTCTGTAGCGTTCTCAGCTACGTTTTCGAGCATCTCTTTTGAAACCTCTACTCTTCGTCGTTTTTGTAAGAGTTTCAGATATTTGAGTACGAGTTTAGCGTTAACACGCTTGATACCCAAAACATTAACCAAAATGTGTTGAGCCGATCTATGAGAGATGCTATCCCTCCAATGCCAATAAGCACGCCAAGCATGTTTCTTTGACTTTTCGATATTATCGTCATTAACAGAGGTGGGTTGACCGACTTGAGTGAGCAAAATTGCGTTGACTTCACGACCTTCACTGCATGCTTTGTGTAATTCAAATATTTGTGTTTGTGCTAAAGTAGACTCCCCAAAATACTTCTGCAACATTTTCAACAATTCTGTAGCCGTGATTCCCTTGGAAACACAAAATTTCAAACAAACTCGTTGTTAAATTCCATGTCAAAAATCGCCAGACAAACTTTTTGCGTCGTAAACAAACAGCTACCAAACACACACTAATAGTCATCTGCAGCTTAAACTTCACAAAGTATCATTCTAGGAAGTCTTTTATCGATTCAGCTTGGGCGCGCAATTTAAATGGACCAGTCCGGGTAAAATCAGATATATTTTACAACTAGTAAAACTTTTATAAAGTAAACTATGTTGTGCTTATACTTAAAAAAACGGGTCCAAAATTTATATTTACAAAAGGCTTGTCCGTCATTTATTATTTGTTGGTTTCGCCCAAATCAATTTTCTCAATCTTACTAGGCGCTTATTGAATAATCCTCGTAACAACACACTTTTCAGCTAATTTTTTTACTACCTATGTCTATAATGTCGTTATTCTTTGAATTTATATTTTTTCATATTTCAATTGCTCAGTGAGTTGTCGATTACCAATATGTGCTTGTGCTTTTTAAACACTTTATATATTAATTTTGTGATTTATTTTTGTTTTGTTTTTTGTTCCTTTTGTTGTTGTGTACATTTTTTAACAGTGATTTCGTCATGTTTTTGGTGATGTTGTTATTGTCACCTATGGTTGTCGCCAATTTATCGCCATCAGCAGCACCAAAAATGATAGATTTTAACGATTTTTGCACTCAAATATTTTTCTTTTTGGATTTTCGTAGCTTTGAAATTTGTTCAATTTCAATTGGCGTCTCTATTTATTATGAGTTATGTATGTTGCGAGTTTGTTTGTGTGTTTATTACTGTGTGTCATGCCTTTTACTGCCTTGTGTTTGTGCATGTTTTGTCGCTGATAACTGTCCTGTCAGCGTACATAACTACTCATATATGTACGTACAACACATCACATTATTACACTTCAGACGGCCAGCAATATTACAACAACATAGTTTACTTTAAGCTCGATTTAATATGAATAGAGAACACTGACTGACTGACGGGCGGTGATGAAATCACACCTTCGAGTGCTTATTGATAAATAATTTGTTTCGTACCACTCTATTAGGCTGTAAATTTACAGATATTTTTATGGTATTTGCATTTGTTTGCTCTTTTTTGTGTTTTTTTCTTAACATTCTTCATTTTTTGTTTCTTAGTGTACAAATATTGTATGTCATCTTTTGATTCTTGTGCTTTCAAGTACACGTACTCCCCAAGAATCAGTTCGTTCGCTTTTTTTTCCAAATCCCTTTCATTATTATAATTCGCAAATAGGCATTTAAAAATTTGTACTTTGCTTCACATCAGAAATGTTAAAACTTTGTTCACTAACACTTAGCAGCGAGTCGCTTCACACACACATAACGGGATATGTCAGGTGTATTTCGTGTGATTTAACGCCTTTGTTACTTTTTCCAAGTACCTATTCAAACAAAACGGTATTTGCATTATAAGTCATTCAAATATCTTACTTGATTTGTTTTGCTTATTGATTCGCCAAATCGTCGCTTCCTGCAACGAGCTGTTCGAATTTGCCTAACTCGCTGCGAAAATTTTGTTTGCAATTTAAATTCAAACTTTTATCGAGACCGTTCCAATTTAAGATAGCGTGTGATTTATTGTAGTTTGTGCTAGATTACTCGCCGAAATTTGTGTCCATCAAATGCTTGTGTAGCTGGAAGGCACAATATAACGATCAGTATGTGAATTTAACGCACCAAATTTTTAATTGGTTATCGCCAATTTGAATTGTAAAATTGTGTGTGTCGAATGCCAATTACTTTGAATGTACAATTTTAAATTAGAAAACAGTCGAGTGTATGTGGGTGTGCACTAAATTACTGATTTTCTAAATAATCAGTGCGTTGCTCGGCAATAATGATTATGATCAAAGACTTGAATCTTTGCATAAGAGACGTCGAGATTCTTGACAACTTCCAATGTGGATTTGTGAATATGAAGTCTAAACAATCCAACAATCTAGTGAATGGCGGGCAAAATTACGATTTCTTTGAAGCCGCGATCTAATGTTATGGACGTATAGAGGAGGTCCTCGGGATTAAAAAATCTTTTGCATCGAACTTCTTTCTGCAAAAATATTTACATATGATTATTTATATATACATATATATTTTGAAGGCGATTATAAAGATTTTATATATTTGTAAAAATTTGTACAGATGTATGACGTTTGGACAATACAATATCCTCTTAACTAAAATTTTCTCAATCAAATCACCTAAAATACGGTAAATTTATAAACATATATACATACATTCGTAGTGATGCCGCAATTTTCTAAAATACGAACACATCCACGCCATTAAAATGCTACATAAAAATTTCTTCAACATTTACTCATTTAAAGAAATATTTTCTATTGCGTACAGGCGTCTGCTGAAATTTTAATGTTTGCTAATTTAAAAGAAAAGTATTAATTTCAGCTAACAACAAATGCGAATAACGAAAGTCGAAAAAATTAAATAATAGGAAAAGAAAAAGAAAAACAACAAAGAGCAACACATTTAACCTACTAAAATTTAATTTCTCATTGTGCGACTTGCGAAAATGTCCAGCAACAAATGTGGCTAAATGGGAAAAAGCCAAAAATTATTACAGCAGTCGATTACTTGGCACATTTTCAAAGAATATGCACACGTTCATTCGCATTTATTTATGTATGTACACATGTGTATATACGAGTACATATGTTTTGACATATATTGCCAAAAATTTATTGTTTGCTAGTTTCTGGGTGGAACGTAGCAGCACATCCATTTTAGATGTTACATAAATGTCTAACTATAAAATAAGTTTTAGTGCAGTGGGTCCGACCTTGGTAAATTTGGTTCGATCTGACTCACTTTTACATTTTTTATATGATTCGGCAACTAAAAACTCGTATATTCGTATTGCTGTATGACTTGGTATTGATGCAGGGATCTGCAAAGTCACGAATCACTTATCTCGAGTTTTGGAAATAAATTCCCGATTCCAATAGTTAAACTTTGCTCCGATATAAATCTAAAAGTGCTCTCAAATTTCGCTGAATTCTTATACATTTTTATTTCTCGAGCAAAATAAGAGAACTTTTACACAACTTTTGTTGGAGTTTTAAAACGTTTGGGAATCTCTGAACCATAACTTGTATTTCACTATAGTATTAACACGGAAATGACAGCTGTTTTTATGCTTGACAATCTGCTGGGGAAAATGTCATTGCGCATATGTGGAAAATGTATCAATAGAAACGGTCACAGTGCTTGCAGCTGTAAAACATTGATGAGCAATGCCCTGCCGTCGTCGCCTAACCGACATCTGTGTAAACAAGTGATGCGCAACACTATATTACTTTTTCGAATTTGAATTTTGAAAAGACTAAAAAAAGTTTGTTCATTGGCACTTCTATTTCTAACAAATTTTTTGACTTGTGCTTTTCATTGCCGCTCATGACAACTATATTATTATTACAATATAGGTGGAAGTTATTTTTAAGCGCATTATACAACTATGCGTTGGTGGATCACTCGATTAGAAAAAAATTGATAATTTTATATTTAGAGAATTTATCTCATTAGCTAAAGCATTGAAGGAAAATATTTTTTAATGCAGGGTTTCTTAACATTTATTATCTACCTTATGATAGTAGCTAAATAAAAGTACAAAAACCTGCAACTTAAAAAAATAAATCTGTAGTGTATCTGATCAAAATTGACCCGGATTGGCAAAAAAAAATTTTTTCTCATATTTTAACACAAATCTTTGTAAGCGCCTTCAAAATAGCGTTTACAAACATACCAACGCTAAATTCAATTGTTATAAGCCTCAGCTGGGATGGGTTTCAGTGCTTCAGCGAATTTGTTTTTTTTTAGTTTCGGCTCATTTTTGGACTCGTGGTGAAAGATTCAGGTCTTTTGGTTCGGGTCTAGCATTCAAACGCTGCACATCCAAAACATTAATTCAATGTGTTGTGTGCCTTCCTATAGTTGATACACTTTTTTTATATTATTTCTACAAAATAATTTATTTTTTATGAAAATCCAAAAAGTGACGTCAAAAAATCGAAACTTTATTTTATATCCACATTTATGTCCATTTAAACGCCCAAAATCGCACCACAACTTCTTGGTTTGGTTAACCGGTGGTAATTGTTTATTTGGGGAAATAAATTAAGACGTGCCACATAAATAGCTAAGACTGGCAACTTTTCTCGCTCAATGGAATAGTATAAACAACAATAAAAAAGAAACGATTTTAACACCATTAAAAAGAATGCTTCTTCCAGTGTGCTATTTCATGTTCGATAAAATGATTCATTATTTGGACTGATATAGATGGCGGCGACCCCCGTTCTCTTTATTATCATTAAACCCTTCCGGCTTTCTTTACTTTTCGTTTCGTTTCGTCAAGTTGCCGGTAACTGTTCCTATTCGTTTACAAAGTTACTCGTTCATTGCTTTGTCTGCTGCTGCGGCTGTGTTTACAATTTTTTTTTAAGTTTTTATTTATTTTTTTTTTTATCATTCTTTTGATTTTTTTTTTTTGTTTTTGTCAATATTTATTTATTTACAGCATTTATAGTATACACTTTCGCAATGCTTTCTTATGACTAATAAATTTATGGCTAATGGCTGGTTATGTAGGTATTTTATTAAACTGAAGCTGTTCTCTAACGTGTTAAATATTTAAATTATGCGAGTATTACAATGAGTTTAATTTGCATTTGTCACGAGAAACGAAAAAGTTCCAAAAGTTTTGTTTTTTTAATGCTCAAGTAGTAAGCCCTTTTAGCGGTTACTTCAGTAGAGGCTCATCGCAGAACTTGAGCACTCGGTAGTTTGTGAATGTAGGTTGGCTTTTGCAAAGTAAAAGTGCTATGAAAAATGAGGAAGAAAATAAATATGGCTTTAATATGCATTATATCATGTTAACCGGAACGTGTGCGATATCAGTTCAAAGGGTGTCACCCAAAGTCAAATTACAGCGCTTACAGACATTTCTAGGTTTTAACATTAGTTCTCAAACATAGAGAAATGAAGACTAAAAATAAGATTTTAGATTTTTGATTTTTTGTATACCTTTAAACAGGGTATATTAAGTTTGCCAAGAAGTTTGTAACTCCCAGAAAACATCGGTGCCTCTGTAAAATATTTACATAAATGATCAGCATGATATGCTGAGTTGATTTAGCCAACTAGTCCCTCAGTTTCTATTTGAAATTGTGAACACGTCTTTTCTCCCCAAGAAGCTCGTCATTTGTCGGAATAATACATAAATATAATTTGTCCTTCAAAATATATTTGTTTCTTTTACCAACAAACTATGTACTTTACTTTCAACAAAGTGAATGTGCATCCCATTAGTTCCTTAATTCATGTAAATTTTTGGTGTTTCAGTTTGAACAATTGTTGAATCATTGTTTACAAGACGCGAAAAAGTAAATTTCGTTGTTGTGATAAGAAAAATATTAAGAAAAGGAATTACTCACACAATTTTGGAGTAAATTTAATGTATATACTCGTATAGGTATATACAAAGAAATATGCTATTGCTCAACTCGACTGAACTTTTTTATTAATAATTTCTCATTTTTATCTATTTTTTCTGCAGCGCCCAAGCACTGGAGCGTGAGATGCGTGATCCACACAGTATTTGCAACATCGACTGCCTACTGGATACAGTCAATGCGTTGGTTAACGATTGTGATCATGAATCATTGAAGCGTCTAAAGAATATCGAGCAATATGCCACCAAATGTAAGTCGGCACAACAACAATTGCATTGTATATAGGCGCACAGTGCTAAATGTTTCTTTTTGTGTTATGCTATTGCAGATAAGCCGATGTCAAAGCAGATTTGCCAGCTGCGTATGAATGTCGAAGATTTTGATTTTATCAAACTGATTGGCGCCGGCGCCTTTGGCGAGGTGCAACTGGTGCGACACAAATCCTCGCGGCAAGTGTACGCCATGAAGCGGCTATCCAAATTCGAAATGATGAAGCGTCCCGATTCCGCCTTCTTCTGGGAGGAGCGTCACATTATGGCACACGCCAACTCAGACTGGATCGTGCAGCTACATTTCGCCTTTCAGGATGCCAAATATTTGTACATGGTCATGGATTATATGCCGGGCGGCGATATTGTCTCGCTGATGTCCATGTATGAGATACCGGAGAAGTGGGCCATCTTCTATACAATGGAGGTTGTGCTCGCGCTGGACACCATACATAATATGGGGTTTGTGCATCGTGACGTAAAGCCGGATAATATGCTGCTCGATCATCATGGCCACTTGAAGTTGGCCGATTTTGGCACATGTATGCGTATGGGCCCCAATGGCTTGGTGGTGTCGAGCAATGCAGTCGGCACGCCGGATTATATTAGTCCTGAGGTGTTGCAATCGCAGGGTGTGGATAATGAGTATGGGCGCGAATGCGATTGGTGGTCGGTGGGTATATTCCTGTACGAAATGCTTGTGGGCGATACACCATTCTACGCGGATTCGCTTGTGGGCACGTACGGTAAAATTATGGATCACAAGAATTCGTTGAGCTTTCCCGCCGAGGTAGAGATTAGTGAGAGCGCCAAATCATTGATGCGTGCTTTTCTCACCGATCGCACACAACGTTTGGGTCGTCATGGCATCGATGAAATCAAGGCGCATCCGTTCTTTGAAAACGATACTTGGACGTTTGACAACATACGCGATAGCGTGCCGCCGGTAGTGCCCGAGCTGTCCTCAGATGATGATACGCGCAACTTCGAGGATATCGACCGCGATGAGTCGCCGGAGGAGGTGTTTCCCACACCGAAATCGTTCGATGGCAATCACCTGCCTTTCATTGGTTTCACGTATACAGGTGAGTAGTAGTGGCAACAGTGTTAATCTAACGCTTAAACATAATTTTTTTGTTTTACTCTGTAGGCGATTATCAGCTACTCTCCAACGACACTGTCGACGCCGAGGCAAAAGAGTCGGCAAATGCGATCGCCAACCACAGTCATCGACATCGTCCTTCCAATTCAAATGAAATCAAACGACTCGAGGCACTGCTCGAACGCGAGCGCAATCATTCCGAAACGCTAGAGAAGCAAGACAAAGCGCTGCGTCAACAAATCGAACTGATTAGTAAGCGCGAAGCTGAATTGCAGCGCATCGCCTCGGAGTATGAAAAAGACCTGGCATTGCGCCAACATAACTACAAAGTGGCCTTGCAGAAAGTCGAGCACGAGATGGAGCAACGTAAAAAGACTGAGGCAATGCTCGCCGAGGCGCAGCGCAATCTCGACAACGAGCAGAAGATACGCACACGCGAAATGAACAATAATCTGCATCACAATGAGAAGATCGTCACGCTGGAGAAGCAGCTGAAGGAAATGGAGGAAAATTTCAAAAACGAGAATGAGCATGTGCAAAAGCTCAAGAAGCAGGTGGCCGAATTGGGTCTAACGCAGCAAGAATTGGAAGGTAAATTGGCGCAATTGCAGGCATTGATTGCCACCTTACAATCTCAAAAGGACGCGCTGCAGCAAGAAGTAGCCGAAACGCAAGCGCAACTGGCGCAAGAGAAAAATGGACGCTCACAGCTGAAAGAACTGGTCAAGGAGTCTGAGAATAAACTGCAAACCATGTCGAATGACTTGGAACGCGTGTCGCAGCGCGAGCAGCAAGCGCATGAGGACAATCGTGTGTTAACCGAGAAGATCTCTGATTTGGAGAAGGCGAATGCTAGTCTGGACTTTGAGCTCAAAGCGTTGCAGGGTCGTTATCAGCAGGAAGTGAAAGCGCATCAAGAGACCGAGAAGTCGCGTATGCTTAGCCGCGAAGAGGCGAATCTACAGGAGGTGTGTTATCATATGCGTAATTCCAACTAAAAATTAAATTTATATATGCATATTTTCTATTTTGCCAGGTAAAAGCGCTACAGACCAAGCTGAACGAAGAGAAATCAGCGCGCATTAAGGCAGACCAAAACTCACAAGAGAAGGAGCGCCAGTTAAGCATGCTGTCGGTGGACTATCGTCAAATACAGCAACGCTTGCAAAAGTTAGAGGGCGAATGCCGTCAAGAAACGGAGAAAGTAATGGCGCTGCAGTCGCAGATCGAACAGGAGCATAGCAAAAAGAACACACTGCTATCTGAGCTGAGTTTGCAGAGCTCCGAAGTGGCGCATCTGAAATCGCGCGAAAACCAACTGCAGAAGGAGGTCAGCTCCTTGCGGGAGGCGAAACGTAAATTCGAAGAAGAAATTTCGCAAATCAAAAACACGTTGAACAAAGAAATTCTGCTAAAGCGCGAATATCAGGATCAACTGGAAGCCGAACAGTATTTCTCACGCCTCTACAAAACACAAGCGAACGAACATCGCGAAGAGATATCGGAGCGCTGTCGTGAAATACAGGATCTGAAAGAGGAGCGCACGTCACTTAAGCACCAAGTACAAGTGGCTGTGGCGCGTGCGGACTCTGAAGCGTTGGCACGCTCCATAGCTGAGGAGACCGTTGCCGATCTGGAGAAGGAAAAGACAATCAAGGAGTTCGAGTTGAAGGACTTCATGACCAAATATCGCAATGAATTGGCAGCAAAGGAAGCGGCTCTTACAATGGCCAAGGAAACGGAAACCGAGTATGTCAAGAAATTAAACCAGAAGAATGCGGAAACCGACGAACTCTTGCAACAGCAAAAGAAACTGCAAGATGAAATGTCGCAACTGCGCGCCACCAAGGACGAAGAACTCGCCAAGTTGAAGGAGAAACTGCAAACCGAAATGCTGCTGAAGCAGGTGGCTGTAAACAAACTGACAGAGGTGATGAATCGGCGCGACACGGACTTGCAAAGTGAGTCGGTCTTCAGGCGAATTGAGCAACGCGAAAATGTCAAAAACTGGTATTTATTAAACCACACTCTTTTTTATTAAAACTTGCAGAACAAAAAGGCAAAGCGCGCTCATCCGCCGAGTTGCGTAAGAAGGAAAAGGAAATGCGTCGGTTGCAGCAAGAGCTCTCTCAAGAGCGCGAGAAGTACAACCAGCTGTCGCTCAAACTCCAAGACGTGCAGAGCCAAATCATCGAAGATAGTCATGTAAGCACTTTTTTCTTATTAATTATGCTATCTTTTTAACATAGCTCGTAATCACTGCTTTAAGCGTATTTTATCGCTTTAGATAAGAAAATCAAAAATACAACATACTTTCTTTGCAGATCAAGCAAAAGCTACAAATGGAAATCGACTGCAAAGCCACGGAAATCGAGCAGCTGCAATCGAAGCTCAATGAAACCGCCTCACTGTCATCAGCCGACAATGATCCCGAAGACACCCAGGTGCTTGTGAGTTCACATTTTTTTATTTTAAATTTCTCAATTGAGTATTGTTGATAAATATTTGAATTTTCTATATGTTAGGACTCGGTATTCGAGGGCTGGTTAAGTGTGCCAAATAAACAGAATATACGCCGTCACGGCTGGAAGCGGCAATATGTGATTGTGTCATCGCGCAAAATTATCTTTTACAATACCGAAATCGACAAACAGAATACAATCGATCCTGTGCTTATATTAGACTTAAGGTGAGTTCATTTAAAACCATTTTTACGGAAAAAATATTGTTTTTTTTTTGTTTTTTTTTTTACATATGCAGCAAAGTATTCCATGTGCGTTCTGTAACGCAAGGTGATGTGATACGCGCCGATGCCAAAGAGATACCACGCATTTTTCAGTTACTCTATGCCGGCGAGGGCGAAGCGCGGCGTCCAGATGAACAAAATCAAATGGATATTAGTCAGCTGTTGACGGATGAACGGCCCAGCACCATTATGTATAAAGGTGTGTACAATATGCTACGAGTTATGACTTATTTTGTATATACATTTCTACTGTTTCTCTCTTTTTTAGGTCACGAATTCGTGCACATAACGTATCATATGCCTACAGCCTGCGAGGTCTGTACAAAACCACTGTGGCACATGTTCAAGCCGCCAGCGGCGTATGAATGTAAACGGTTAGTAAATATTTGGCAATTTGTCATTTAATTTTAAAAATGCTAACTCAAAATTAATACTTTTTTCGATTAAAACAATTTATTTCACACTTCTCTTTAAAATGTTTCGACTTCGATTTCTACTAGATCAAGGAAATTCCTTTTTTTTTTTAACGATAATATTGGTTTCGATTCAAGAAGTACCTGGAATAAAGTTTTGTTTTTTCTAAACCGAACTGTAGTATAGAATTAGCCGAGAAATGTAATCGGTGCGAAATTATGCTTTTATTTTTTGAAACTATTTTAAAGAGCTTAATATTTAAAATGCTTGAAAACATAAAGTCTACTCTGAGGCGACAAAAAACATATGTTTGGTATTAGAGATGAAAGCGATTTCGGAGATAAAATTCGTATAAAAAAAATACTTTTTGTTTTAGTAAAAGCTTTCTAAAACACTTAACATACATTTACATGCTGAACACTTTATTCTCACCAATATTAAATATATATATTAATAATTTAAGTAAATAAGTGTTTCCAGAGGGTGTTGTTCTCTTTCAACGTTATTTAATTTTTATATGTCGAAACCAAAAATATTGCAAGGGATTTCGCTTATCTCATATGCTGATGACTATAATTATAAATTTTACATTTTTTTTTAAACTCGTCCTTTTAAACATGATCCGAAGCCGAATCGCTTTCCTCGAAGATCTAGAATTATTTCTTTAGGTCCACTGACGACATACGACACTCAACAACACATACATTATGTACATAACGCCACTCACTTCAAGACATATACTAACTTTCGCCCGGTACATAATGTCGTCGCAGCACAAATAGAATCGTGTAACGGAAGTAACTCGCTTAAACTTCTACTTCTCAAGTTGACGTATTAAATTTGTTCGCCACGTAACTAGTCCGTTATCCACTTTTTTGCATGTTCACTCAACGTTTCCTGAACAATTTCTCATTCTTACCTCGAAATACTCACTGCTAAGCGCTACAACAATAACTACTACAATTTATTTTTTCGCCATAATAACCATATTTTTTATTTAAATTTTTTGTTTTTGTTTTCGATTACGAAACTACTGACGATAATGCAATATATCTTTATCTAATATTTATTTTACAAATCTTTTTTATTTCAGTTGCCGCAATAAAATCCACAAGGAGCATGTAGACAATAACGATCTGCTGGTGCCGTGCAAGCTGCATCACGATCCCCATACTGCCAAAGAAATGCTGCTGCTGGCCGGCACGCCTGACGAGCAGCATCTGTGGGTGACACGCCTCTCCAAGCGCATACAGAAGTTCGGCTACAAAGCCAACTCGTCATCGAACAATAACAGCGGCGGCGGCGATGGCAGCAAAATATCGCCAAGGTGAGTCTGCAGGCATGTTTATTGTTGTTTAATTAAATATTAAATATTAGCAGATATACATATGTACATATATTACTATACTTATATACATTTTTTTCAACATTCATGCCTTAAACTTACTGCTTAGTGTTAACTGCTGACAGTTAAATACATACATACATACTATATAATATAATTGTAGCCATATAAAAAATATTAATTCTAAAAACATATTTTTAAATTTCTTTTTCTACTTTTATTTACCTGTGTGTTGCTTAACGTGACTGAATGATTGGCAAAAATTTTTGGTAAATGCAAATGCGTATATAACACGTGACACCCGCAAACCTGTAACCCGCATATCCTACAAAAAAAAAAAAAAAAATTTAAAACATCCAACAACAACAATCAAACAAATTCCCCAAAAATATATGATAAATCGTAACAATTGTAACCATCATGAACGCTATGCTATATCAACAACCACCAACATATCGCCATCATGCCATCATTATGCTACACTCATACCACCTGCATACATACATACGCCAAACGCGCTCATTTGACCCCCTCACCATTGTGCCTCATCTCGCCACTTGCGTGCTCTGCGCAGCCAATCGACGCGCTCCGCTTACAAGCCATACGCAGTTAATGTACAAAGATCAGCCACGCTGCCAGCCAATTCTTCATTGAAGCAGTGATCCGCTAAAGCAATCAAATATTTTATAGAAGACAAATATGTAGACATATATCTAGTATATAGAAGTAGTCGAGAGTTTTAAGTTGTGTGAAATGCGTGTGCGTAGACTGCGTGTAGTCGAAAAAAAAACAACAACTCGAAGCACATTTGCTGCATATCTAAGCTTATATATGAATTTATATACTTGTATATTAGTTTTCACTAGTTTAAATACACACACACGCGCAGTTCAAAGCGCGCATGTGCCGATACATACATACTTTCACTTAGCATATGCTCCTATGTATTTATATTCTATAGAAATGCATACTGTACATACATACATACATACATATAACTGTAGAGTGAAGAACTGAAGAAGAAGCAGCAGAAACTAATTTACTTTGCTGGTAAATGTAATAACTTTCCATATCATAATTATTATGTTTGTTAATGCTAATGTTGAGTTGAAACAGTATAATGTTTATATAACCGTCATATCATCTTAACCGCCAATTTACATACATACGCATTACTTCCTGTATGCTAACGCCGTATGAAAGTAAAACAACAAAAAGTAATTAAAATACATACATACATGCATATACATACATATTAACTTAGTGCGTCGTTATGTAAGTTAAACTTTTATACATTTATTATTATTATTATTTAATATTACATAAGTAGTGAAATAAGTAATTTGCTTTTGTAGCGTTATAAAATAGTAAAAAAAATATTTACAGTTGACTTTTTAAAGCGTGTGAAAAACAATGAAAAGTTAAATCAAAGAAAAATAAATAAAAATTGTGAAAATTGAAAAATAAAAATAAAAAATGAAAAAATCAGACATTCTAATAAATAAGTAACACCAACAGATTGTTGCCAAACTTTTTGAAACTGAAATGTAACGGTGTTTCAGTTAGTATTAGTATTATTACTAGTGCTAGTTTTAAGCTGTGCACACATTCGATTCAACAAAGTGATAAACTAATTTGCGCGCCAAATATCTAAAAACTATTTGAGAATTATATATTTTTACAACTGTTGTTTTATAAAATTTCTAAATTTTTTAATCAAACAAGGAAACATTTAAAATTGTTTTCTCTTATCTTTCAAAAACTAGAAAGTGTAACTTAAGCACTTATCGATTAGAATTGATATGTTATGAGCAGCTTTTTTTTAAATCATCACTTGAAAATGAGTTTAAAAATTATACAAAATGAGTTTAAAAATTATGCAAATTAATTAAAATAAATTTTAAAACTTTAGCGAGTGTGAATAAGCAGGCTTTAAGAATTCGTTCAAAAAGTATTTTTGAAAAAACAAAATATGTATATAAAATAAATTCTAAAAGTATTCGAATTTTCAAGAATTCAAGAGCTAACATTCACATAACAACTTTTTTTTCGAAGTCTGCTAACTGTAAACTACAGCTAGATTGGCATATTTTTTATATAACTGGCGTATATAAATTGCGTTTTGAATTGCAAAAAACGAAAAAATATTTAAAAAAGCAAATGTTGATAGACAACCTGCAAAGCGGTTTTATATAATTATTTTGCTGCTTCTTTAACCTAAAAACTTCAATTAATTCCAACTAAAGAACTACATTCTTATATACATACATACCTACCTATATATATATATATATATATATATATATTTACTTTTTTACGCATACGCAACTTAGTTTTTCCAAGAACAAATACCATGCACATAAATTTAGCTAAAGCTACTAAAATAAATTTAAAAAAGTTAAGAAAAGAGAGATCTATGCATAGAGAATGCGCTGATAATTCCATACTAATGTTAAATTCTTATTTAAATGCAAACATACAAATAAGTATTATATATATACACAGACATGAATACCAATTTGGAAGGGCGTATTGAGTGTAAGTCGTTAAGCTTTAGTTACATAACATGTAAATTATTTTATGTTATTTTATTTTCGCTTAAATTAAGTTTCGAAATGTGTATTAACAAAGATTAATGTGAAAAAGTGGCACAGTCAAAGCAAAAAACGAGAAAAAAAACTAACAGAAACTTAAAAAAGTAACTCTAAAATCTAAAAATGTCTATTATAACGGTAAACTGAAGTGCAGCAAATACACACATACATACTTTGCGTATACTTAAGCGAAATTTCTAACTCAACACACAAAAGCAATATTGAAATTTACGAAAAAGTTGAAAAATTGTAATGCAAACTCGAAATTTATAAAAAAAACTTTTTTGTTAGAGAAAAATATTGAATACAAGTTTTTGAGTTAAATTCAAGCAGCTAAATGAACACTGACTGATTGACAACTAGCGCAGCTTTCTGTAGCATTACAACCAACAGCAAATCATTTAGCAATTGATGAGTAAGTGCTTTTGACATTGAAAAATATACATATAAATAAATATTCTTTTAGTTTAATAATGATTTCGAAAATATTTTTGTTACTACTTGAAGTTTTTCGCCAAAATCACTCTCATTTATTTTCGAACAAGAAAAATAATAAAAAAATATTCTTTTGTTATTCAAACCTTGCTTTGCTGTTGTGTTGTTTCCATTGCTTTAGCTATTTTTTTTTCAAATGTACGAATTATCCTTATTTATATTTTTATCGAAATTCGCAAAAAAAACTTAAAATTATTGGTATTTTTTAAGTTTATATTCCATATAAACTAGTGCTTATGGGTACAAGTTAAATATACTATTTCAGTTAATTTAAAATTCGACAAACAAAAAACAAATGTAAAAAATAAAAAACAATTTATAAAATATTATATGTTTAGTTTTATTTTCGTATCTTTGTTAGTTTCTTATTTTATTTTTTTTTATTTAATTTTATTTTATTTTTTATTATTTTTTTATATTTGTTATACAATTTTGAATTTTATTTATTTTTTATTTTTATTTGTTATACAATTTTTAATTAATTTTTTTTTTTTATTCGTTTTACAATTTTTAATTTAATTTTTTTTAAATTTTTATTTGTTATACAATTTTTAATTTAATTTTTTTTTATTTGCTATACAATTTTTAATTTTTTTTTATTTATTTTATTTTATTGTTTTGTTATAAATTATATAATTTTATATTTTTTTGTTATTATTTTTTTTTTATAAATATTATATATTATATATGTATATATATTATTACATTTTTTGATTTTACATTTTTTAAAAATTTTTTTTTATTATACATTCTTTTCTTTAATTTTTTTTTGTTTTACAATTTTTTATCTAATTTTTTTTCATTTAATTTTTTTCTAAATAGTTTTTTTTTTATTATACATTTTTTAATTTTATGTATTTTTTACGATACTTCTTTATTTAATTTTATTTTTAAATGTTTTTAAGCCATTTCATTTCAAATTCTAAAAGCTATTCACAAAGTGTTGCCGAAATTTTTACAAGCAAATAACTACAGCCACTGGAGTGGGAACGATAGAAAATAAATGAATTTGAAAAAAATAACAGTATTAAAGACATAGATACCAAAAAAAAAATACTTAATTAATTAAAAAATATTTTTAAAAAATCGTACAATAATTATTAAAATTTAATATAGTTAAAAGTTTATTTGAAACTAATATAATAATAGTCCGTAAAGTGTGCCTAACGCAAGAAAACTGAACAATAGGAAACGAATACGTCCCACTTTTGGAACGTAATAGGTTTCTTCTTGTACTTTTTTCCGACTAAAAATAAGTCAAATGTATCCAAAATCATGTATATGTAAAAATATAAATATGTATATAAGATAACGGTCTTAGTAAAAATATATTATATACATATTAACAGCTGCTCGCTCACCGGGTACTTATGGTACATTTTGAGAGATCTTTTCACCTACGAGAGAGTAAACTTAGCTTACTCTCTCATTAACAGAAAATTCCGAAGAGAGTGTGAAACAAAGCAAATAAAAGCTCAGAATTCACTTGCAAAATTCATATTATTTTTACGCAATAGGTATGTTCACAAATGCTTTCCAACATGTAGCTTAGTATATCGGTAATTACGCTTGATTTATTGCTCATTTGTCAATAATATACAATTTTCATTATCTTACCGTTACATTTACTCATCCCTTACATAAAATAAGGGAACTTTAAAGTTTGTGTCGCTCATGCAATGCATTGTGAATAATCTTTTTCGCTTCTAAATATTTAAAGCTCGAATGCATATTTTGTTCGTAACGAAAAATTTTATTAATTTTACTCATACTTATTTTCTTCAAATTACTATATCTTAAAGTCGACTGAAATGGCAACCGTCAATAATGTCACAACACTCACAACACTCACAACAATCACAACAACGTCACTCCTCACCGCCAACACCGCCACCAAAACCATTATCACTGCAACGGCACAAATCACAACCACCAATATTTTACAACAACAAATGAAACAAATGCACAAATTGAAATTGAAACTGAAATAACAAAAACCAAAACAAACAACAACAACAATAATTGGTGTGGTTCAGCAGCAATTTTGCGGAACAGCAACAACAACTAATAAGACTATCAAATCGCCTGCGCAACAGTTTTATAAAACGCTTTCGTACAGCTTTACGCGCCGATTAGCGTGCGAGTTTTATAAAAATATTAAGAAAATATATATAGTATACAGTAATATATTGATTAGAGTAATTATGTAAGACAAACGATTCTCTAAGAAAACAAAAACAGAAAAACATTCGACTAAGTTTGCGCACATTGAAGGATTTTTCATTGTACTACTATTGTATATACATATATATTTATTTATGTCATAGGTTCTTACATGTTTTTAGGTTATGTTGAAGTATCTCAAGCTATTGTACTTAATAATTTTGAAAGTGTGTAATAAAATTTGCCATACCATTTGTTCTGATGAACGGAATTCAAAATAATTAATAATTTTAATATTTTAAGTTTATATAAAAATATAGTTCAGAAGAAAGAAATTTGAGTGTAGTCGTAAAACGTGTATAAACTATTTTTATATTTAATTAGATATTATGTAGTTTATTTATTGAATTATTATAAATTATTTTGCTAAAATGTTGGAAAAACTGCAAAATATTGGAAAAATTGAAAACACCAAATTAAATATAAAATCTTATAACCAAAAAAATTGTGGTTTATTTTGAATTCTATTTATCACCCACTTTATGCATAACTAAACAAGCGATTATAATGCAAATATACCTATATATTTATACAATTAGTGATATAGACGAGTATAGACATACATTTAATAAAATAAAATTATAAAAATAATAGTAATGCATATAAAATTACCAGAAAATCTAAAAATATAAACATTTACATATTTACTAATGCAATAACATTCCTAATTAGTTTATAAGCAATAAATAATGCATTTATAATCGAAGCGCTTAAAGCGTATTAATTCGTTAATCGAAAGCCAACTAAGCAATCAAATTGTAAACGAAAAAAATAAAAAAAACACAAAATACATCATGAAAAGTAGCAGCACAATCAAATTGTGAACCAAGAAATTTAAATACTTATCTTTCAAAAATTTATTTCATTCTTTTATGATATTAAATTTTTATTTATAGTCAAATAGCGTAAAGTTGGCTTTAATTGTCTAACTTCATGAGTTAAACTAATTTTAATAATGTTTTAACTACGCTGTGCTTCCTCCTAATCCAACTCTAAGCTAAGCTATGACTTCCAGATTATTTCTTTTAAATATTATATTTTGTGCAAAAAAAGTATCAACTTGTTACTACTTTCAGCTCAAACTTATTCGAAAAGTTGTTTTCTAAATTTTACTCTCTTCAGAGTAAGCTCTACAGAATATTCTTTATATATGCAATACGATACTTATCCGCATGCAATGCCTTAGTTTTCGAGTTTCCTTTACAGTCTACAGTACAAATCTTTGCATACTTTCAGGTGCTATTTTCAAATATTAAAGTCGTAAATACAAGTATTCGTTTATTTGATGTCAGTTAATTTATTTTTGTTACTCAACAGGGCAGAGACGCTTATTATGACTAATTTATGTGGTTTCTTTGGACTATTTTCGTACGAGCGTAGCGAGTGTCAAACAATGTTAATTTTGAAACATTTGTCAAATCGATACAAATTTTGACAGTTGTATTATGCTATAAATATATATATAAATCAATTGTAAAATCTCGAAACCAAGTGACATGATCCACCCTTGTGTTGAAAAACCAATTTCAATGTCACTTTTCTATTTATAAACTCCATTTTATCTCCAAAAGGAATGCAAAGCTCTGCGAATTCGCAGTTTTGCAATATCACGATAGTTGGCATAGTTAAATAGTTATTTTACATTCATTCTCTTTGATCTTTAGTCAAAAATGCATGCTTCAGGTATGTATGGTATTTGCCAAATAAGTAATAGCAACAAATTAATTCATGTAATAGAAAAAATCAAAATGAACTAACAAAGTTGACTCGCACATAAATTCGCGTTGCCAACTATTTTCAATTGACTTGCATATGCAAAAAGAATTCATACCAATTTACAACTGACAACTCAACTAAATTGAAAGTTGTAAGTCATAAGAAAATAAGTTGTGTCAATATTTTCGCAAAGAGACTTTGCATTCTTTTTTCTTCTACTTATTTTTATCTTTTTATGCATTATTGTAAATATATCTATTTTTTTCTTTTTTTTTTTATCTATTTTTCATAATTTTAGTCTACTTTTTGTCAATATTTACTAAAAACTCTTTTACTCGCTCTCCTATTTTGCTTATACGTTGACTTCTCTACAGAAATTTTACTTAAATTTTCTTATTTTATAACTTAAACTAGACTTTACTATGGTAAATATGTGTATATAATTATATCAATGAAAAATATTAAATTTCTAGTAGCAAATAATCATTCAGCAGCAGCTGTGAGCATATCACCCTCTCATATATATAATAATTAATTCAACAAAGGAATACTTAAGCAATGTTACTTTATTGAATTTACAAACATTTCTTTACTTGTGACTTATCTAGTTTATTGATCAATACAAAGTAAACATGAACTTAAATAATAAAATTGTAAGCGAAACGCCTTGATTAGTTGATAATTTATACAAATTGTAATTAATAACAAATCTACTTAGGAAAACACATATATAATATATATTCTTATACATATGTAAGAATGTCTATATGGACATGCAGGTTATTGTAAGCTTAAAACTTTTGCAATATCGTATTCTTAAATATATAGTGGTTATATTATCGTTATTTTATATCGTATTATGGTAGTTAGCGCGACCGTTTATATAGAATTGTATACAATTAAATTCAAACGCAATAAATCGCATGCAATTTTGTACGAAAATGTTTCTTTCTTTCTTTATTGTTGACATGGGTAGCACGAGAATTATGTCAGGTTCTAAAAATGTTCATAAAATGTCCAAAGGCCTAACAAAAAACTACTTTGAAATCAAAATTTCACTTTAGAAGTGAATCGCTCATAATTGACTCCGATTTCTATATAGCTTTGCGCATCATAAATAAAATTTCTGCTGGTTTGAACACTGAATTTCATCAACATATACGCTCACATTGGTTAACATAACCAAGCTGTGTGTAGTCTTTGGAATTAGCAGCAAAAGTATCCAACGAGTTCTACGGTACGAGTATTTGTGTACCGGCAATGTGAAAGCTGTGTAATATGTTGTTTGTAATATAAGGACTTCATATTAATAAGCCAATTGAGATAGGTAAGTTGAAAATTTTTTAATCAAATCCCGTTTTACTCACCACCACAGAAACATAATTTGAGTTTATAGCTGAAAATCGTTTGAAAATTAAGTAATATATTCTGTAAAAACTACTTATTGAAATGGCTCGATTAAAAATTACCGTTAGTACTATTACTAGAAGGCTCCAATTATTTATTTTCAAACGTTTATGTAACCTTAGCTGATTTAATTTTAAATTTTATATATTAACACTCTCAAAATAAGTTTTGGAGAAGCGTCAAATTAATTTTACAACAATCACAAGAGGATTCAATTATACAACGACGATATTAATTTTTCAGAAAATTTCATTTTTTATATTCTAAAATTTATCTACTTTCTGATTAAATTTGACACGCATGTATGCTTGTATTGGCTCAGCAGCCTATTTCGAAAGCGATTATAAAGATTTGTATTAAAATACATGAAAATGTAGTTTTACTCTGTCAGCCCGGGTCAAACTTCATCTGTTGGTATATTTCTGAGGTTAAAAAGTATGGTAAGTAAAGTAACTAAACTAAAAACAAATAATCTAAAAAATTGAAGCTGAAAGAGAAACCAAAAATTGTTTATTACTTCTTATTATTGATTTAATTTGTTTAATTTTTCCTTCCTATAAAATGTCGGTTTTAATATTTCTTTTTTAAAGTCAGTGCAGTAATATGCTCACATATAAATAATGCAACTTATCACAACTATATATTTTTATTATAATTAAGTATTTATGAATGTTGACAATCATTCGCATTGGATGTGTGCAAGCTAGTATTTAAATGTGCAGAATCGTATACATTCTTACAAAGAAGATAAACATTTACATATTTATCAATATTCATACAAACAAACATTCAATTAATAAATAAGCTTGCGTATAAATCTACCATTTACAAGCTTTTCAAGCCATATTTATTGTCATTCTACTTATTATCGCGAATTTCGCTTTCATTCTACACACACACACTTATATAAAGAATTATAAAGTATGTGAGCGACTATCGGTTGCGGAAGAATTCGAACTACAGAACTAGTTCGGGTAAGAGTAGGCCCGAACCACAAATACAAGCACATCAGAACCTGTCTAACACGCGCCTGTTTTGTTTTGTCACAATCAAAGCGGTAACAACAGATTATTGGATCAAAAGAACCATGTGACTACCAGGTTATGTGGTAGAATAGGGCAAATGACGCAAGAGTTATTTGAATAAAAATAAATAAATATATAAATAAAAAGTAAAAAAGGGCTAAGTTTGGGTGCAACCAAAAATTTCTTACTCTTGCAACTTGCAAGGATCATAGCCGGATAATAACACCTTAAAGTGTTGGCAATACTAAAAAATGTAGCGAAAGGTTCAAATTGATTGTTCGACGAAATCGTGTAGGGATTAAAATCAAATATGGTATAATTTTAACTTATTTTGAAGGTCATAGACTCATTTAGTTGTATTACTATATCTTACTTCCTGCTAGGGAAAATTATATTTAAATCATCCTCAAATGAAATATATGTGATATAAACAATTCAATAAAATAACTCTCGCATTGGCCGATATTTCTGATATAAAGTCCACTGGAAGTTTAAAAATCTTTACATTAGGTATATCAGAGGTAAGGAAAGCATTGATCCAATTCAAACCATTTTTCTGACAGGTTGATTTTGAAGGTATATTATTATCAAGTAAACATTTTCCCTGAATTTCAATAACATTTCTCTTAGATTGACTGATATTCTCGGCAAAAAGTCAGTCATACGCACTGGGGTTCACATATTCGGTATGGGGGTGCTTGAACCGTTATGTTTCGATTTGACAATTTTTAGGCTCGAGATGGCATACCTCAAAGGCACTATTTGTCATCCAAATATATTCATTGGTGCCTGATTTGTGTACTGGAAAGTGAAAGAATCAGAGGGAATTTAAAATTGTGCTATATGAGAAGTAGGCGTGGTTGGAGTCCGGTTGCGCCCATTTTCACAATGTAATATAGGATCGCTAGGATAATTTATTTACCTTTAAGTAGGTCCGGAAATATGTGATCTCCGATTTTAACTCATCTCATCATACTGATCTCTTATATATATGTAATCCTATATCTAACTCTATGTGATGGCACTAAAACTAACGCTATATTGGAAGTAGGCGTGGTTCAAATACAATTTATAACATTTTGCAGCTATTGTAATGAGCCATCTTAAGAATATTGTATACCAAGTTGCGGTACCAATATCACATATTTCAACTGATCGACCGTGATCAGGACTGTTGTATATTTCTGAAGAGAATATTTCTTATGTTATGATTATATATTAGCGCACAAGCCTTAAAATAAGAATTTTAGAATAACTATTTATATCACGTTTGGTCGAGGTTAATTCCAAGAGATCTCGCAATGAAACATGTCAAAAATGTATATTAATTTCACACATATTAAAGAAATGAAGAACGAAATGATGTGTTTTTACATGAAGGTAAAACAGAACTAAGCCACAACAACATACATTTCAATTCGAAATACTCACTTGTTCTTTTTTCACAAGTACAAGGTAATTGAAGTAGCATGCAAATTTTATGATTCTGATTTATTTCGCTTGTTGAACCACATAGATATACTCTCATATGTATACCCAGCCACTGTCTTCACGGAAGTCATTCATTGTATTCATTTCAGGTGCGTGTTTTACGAGTTTTTCAGATTTTAACGCAGAACGCGCGAGGTATTTAGATGAGTAAAAAATACAGCAATAAGCACATTTTTTTCGACATTTTTATCTACCACAGAGATTCTAAAGTAATATGTTATATATCACACATGTTGTTAGTGGAATAATCAGTAATTACCAATTCTCTCATTTCTGAGCAATTAATGCGTTCTGAACGTATATTAATCGCCTCTTCGGGTATGGAAAAACGTTGACCTCTTAGTTTATTTTTTACGAAATAAAAGGATGTCATTTGGTGCGAAGTCAGGACTATATGGTGGATGACTCATCAAATCAAATCAATGTTTTGAGTGATCAAAAATGCAGTTCTTTTAGTCAATGTGTGAGAGCTCGCATTGTCGTGGTGAAGTCTTTATCAGTCTTCGGTTGTTGGTTTTCGTGATTTCTTGAATGACAACTGGCAAACAAATGGTTGACTACCACTCAGAATTTACTGTTCAGCGTTGTTCTAGTAGTATGATTGAGCCATGCCCAGTTTTTCCAAAAAAAAAAAAAAACAGGCAAACCATTTACTGGAAGTACTTCGTGCGCGAACAACTTCTGTTGCACTCGGCTCTTCTTGAAACAGCCATACAGTCGACTGCTGTTAACTTTGGGGCTCATACGCGTAAATCTACGATTCATGTATAATGACAAATAGTGTGGAATCCAACGTGAACAAATTTATTTTATAGTCAAATCTGCATGCAATATTGAATTTATGCTGGTCCCACTTATTTCTATAGTTATCTCAATCTCACGATAGGTCACATGACAATCTTGCAGTATCAGTTTGCGCACAGCATAAATAACTTCCGAAACAACAATTCATTTTGAACGACCTTCACGAATTTCGTCTTTTAGGGATCGTCAACCTCGATCAAATGTACAATACAATCGATAAACACTGGTCCTGGATGGAGCTTCTCCGTCAAAAATTTATTTAAGTTCAACAAAGCACTCTTAATCCAAGTCAAAAGTAGTAAAAAATAAATGTGCGAAAATGTTAGCGATTTAAATTGATTTTTTTTTTACCGAGATGAAGATTTTAAGTAAACAACACAAATAGAGCTTGTATGTCAAAACGTTCTGAGCATCTAAAATAGCGAAAATGTCAAACTTTACGATAAAGTTGTGAGTTGCCAGATTGAATACTTTTGTTACCAAATCCCTAAATATAAAAGTCAGCCTACGTAATGCGCACAGTTGCCATAAAAACTGATCGCTCAAAATCAAGATAAAAATCTTTTTTCCTTATTAAGCAATCAAAATTCGACTTGAAGGAACTAGAAAAACATTTTCCGCTAGTTGTGAACTCATTTTCTCAAAGAGTTTTGAGGCTTTTCAGTTACACTTCGAAAATCTTTTTGTTTGCTTAGAGAACTTCTAACAGTTTAAATTGGCGACTTTCGAGGGCAAGACAACGATTTGCTTTTATGGTTTTATGTAAACTTTATTCTACTTGCATAATCTTTATGGTTATATTAAATAACCACTACTAGCTCTGTCGAAAATGGGTAAAAACTAATTGGATTTTCAAAAAGATCGAGCTGTGACGTAGTTTCATGCTTTTGTTGTTGTTGCTCCATTAAGAACCTATTTATCACTTTTTTATTGTTTGATTAATTTCAAATTAAAATTGAGAGACAGGCAAATAAAGCCCAGCGGCAAGCACAAGGTGTGCCATTTTCATTTATTACAAAAACAACAATAAAAATTTGCATACGCTTATTCAAAGCAAAGTGCTAAATCTGTAAACAAAAGCGATGTATAGTTTTCTCTTTCAATGGACCCCTAATTTTATTGTGCTTAATATTCGCATTAATTTCGTTCAGTTCGGTTCGCCGAACGCCAAAAAAAAAGATTGAATGAAGTGAATTTGAAATCGAATTAATAAACAGATCGAAACATGTAAAAATCTTTAATAATTTGTGCGCGTGTGTGTGTGCGTAGTAATTATGTGCGATGAAATTGCGCAAGTTTTGATTTGTGTGCGTCTACACATGCTTTTTTCTTTATCAGTCAATGGCGGCGTAGATTTGTTTCAAGGTCAGCACCGCTACACCACGCACACACACACACACATTCATGTATATGAATTTTACCTGGCCAAAAGTGAATTTCAGCGCTGAACCGGCCTGCTGATAGCAGCACGCTGTCGTGTAAGCAGCGGAAGATAGCAACCGGCGTTTGTATGTGCGTGCGTGTGTGCTCTTTGTGATGCTATTGCTCCAGCACACACACACACACATATATGAGCTTTCGCGCGCACACAAGGAGAAGGATGTAGAAATTATGCTAATGCAGTGATCATTCCGGTTGGGCTCGCCTGATTTGAATATATAGTTGGTGTGCTTTACTACTCAAGCCGGTTCGGTTTGATTTGGCTTTGGGTTTCTTCGCTCGTTCCATTTCGCCTTCTATCAGTTGTACTCTGCTGTGCATGTAAATTACAAACAAAAAAAAAAAAAAAATGAAAGACAAAGCAACTCCAAACCGAAATAGAGCCGAGAGATATTTCGCAAGCGTTCAAAATATCAAAAAATACACACATACATACCATATACTTGTATAATATAATTCACTAGGCGCAAGTTTTAGTTGGAAGAAATAGAAACAACGAAACAAAACTTAAATCAATTAAAAATATCTTTACAAATTAGTTTTTTATTCGAATTTTGTTGCAACTCTTTCTTCGGCATTTAAAACAGTTGTGTTATTGTATGTGTGTGTGTGCGTGTGTTCGCTTGAATTTCGAGCTTGTTTTTTATTTTTATGGTTTTTTAACTTACATGTGACCTTGAGTTTTCTACACACAATGCATTCGCTGGTGTCCAACGTCCCGCTGCGCGCAGACTCAACAGCGAAATGAATAATTCGCATCTGCTCCGATGTATGGCCATAAATCATATGATTTTATTTGGAAAATAGTTATTTATTTATTATTGTCAGTCATTAGTCGACTGATGTTCTTAATTAATAAACAATTGTATTTGATAAAAAGACATCAACAGCGGCGGCGCTCAGGTGGCTGATGGCGATTCGCTTCGATGAAGTGTTATTGGTATGTCTCTACATGGTATGTGTGTGTGTGTAGCTGGTTATGCATGTGCATATATGTGTGCGCCTTTAAGTGAGCCAGCTGAAGACGTCAAACCAACTGCGAAGGTGGCGCAATTATCGCGCAGGCGCACCCAGCACAAAGCGCGGAATTGCCGACACCGACACCGTTGAATACTCTCACCACTTTAAAAGAAATAGTAAAAAGTAAAATTATTCAAAAAATAGCATTAGCATCAATATACCAGACTTTAGGTAAAATAAATGAAAAACTTTGAAATTTATGGCGCTAGCAAAAGAAGTTTACATTGGCTATAATTTAAGTATAGTTTACTGCATGTATGTAAATTTGCATGTATGCCTCAACGATTTCTTTCGGTATGGGCATATATACATATATAAAATCATTATGTTTAGTGTTTTAAGACTGGTGTAATCTTAACATCAATCGAAATAATTCGTTGACTACTGTCTGAAATATATACTCGTATAACATAACGACAATGGAAAAATTGAAAATCAGTGAAATCTAGTAGGACTTGGGATAGCTCTGGACTGTCTTCATCTATCGTGGTATTACGTTAAATTATGCTCATTAAAATATTTCCACCCAATTTGACTAAGTTGACGCACATGCTACTGAATCTAATTTTTCCATTTTTAACACCAAAACATACTAATTATATGTATTCTGTAGGTAAAAGTCTTCTCTACATTTCCTTAAGATTTCACGCAAATTGAACAATACTTTGCGTATAAAGTCAGTAATAGGCGTGGGGGTGCGGTGGCGTTGGTTCGATTTTGTCCATTTTTTAATAAGAAGTGCCACACCTTGCTTACAAAATTTGTGCAAAGTTTTATTCCGATATTGATACTTGATTTTTTTATTATAATTTGAAAGAATCTGAAGGAAGTTAAATCTCTTATGGGTAGTAAGCGTGTTTGTAGTCAGATTTATTTAACTTGTGACGTAAGCTTTTATATTTACAGCTGTCTGTTGTTAAGCTTTTTGTTTTTGAAACATTCTTTTGTTATCGATAAGTTATTTAAGTTATTTTTATTATTAAACTTCTTCTAGATGTCTAAAAGTCGATATAAACTTCAAAAATCAAAATTTTTACCTCTTAAAATTCTTTTTTGCATGCAAAGTGATTTCAGTCTCAAATATAAAATACTTCACAAAATTATAATATAATCCGAACATGGTAATAAACATTAATACATTTTGGACCCAGAAAAATTCCAAAATGCGAATTTTGTCGTTGAGCTTAAATTTTAAAAATTTCTATAAAATAAAGAAAAGTCATTTCGTGCTCATATAGCCATAGAAAGGGTTGCATGTAATCTGATTTCTTGGCCGAATTTTTAAACGCTTATTTTAAGCTTGTAGAAAACTTTTACAATAGTTTTTCTTATTTTTGGAAGTCTTTCTCTTATCCAAAGAGTTTCAAACGTTCCATGTTTTGAAGAATATATGGAAGTATTGGCCAAGAAGATTTGTTGGTTATGACTAGGGTGTTTAAACCGCTAAAAGTACTCCGTGTTTTTTGAGCCATGTAGCTTGAATTTAGAAGTGATTCTAGTTTTTACTCGTCAAATTTTTCTATAAATCTGATTGATTGTGTATAATTTAATGCTTGGGCTTTAAAACAGATTTTGAAGTGCCCTTGCCAAATGTGGAAAAAACCAAGGCCTGAAATCATTTTAGCAATAAAAAAAACGATTAATGCTATTAAGCTTAAAATAAAGTTAAAAAATAAGTTAATCAGTTGATTTAGATACAATTTTATAAATAAATACAACAATATTTGCTGATATTAGTGAATGGGTGTGCTTGAAATTCGCAAGAGAAACATAAATGAAGGTTTTATTCAGAACAAGAGCATGAGGGCTATATATTTTTTTTATACATATATCCATGTTATAATATTTAATATAGTTATTAATTTCTGGTGGAATGTCCAAATAATAAAGTATTAAAGAAGTTGTAAGCATATTTTTTCGCTTGAGCGCGCATTAATCACAGCAGGATTGATCAAGTGATACAAATGAGTTCAAAAGAAAAAAAGAAAACGAATTCAACAAAAATATTCATATTTATTTCCGATATATTTCATATTCATATTATAGCCGAGAATGTCAATTTTTCAAGCAGCTTAACTGCTGTACAGTTAGCGGGCACATAAATAGAATAGTTTTTGACATTTATGATTGTTGAAATTCTAACTTTACCGCATTGCAACTAAGTCATCAAAAGCAACAACTATGCGCTGCTAACTTCACAATGACTCCACTAACTTAACATAAGTGTAATTGGGTAGACATACCTGTTATTTGTATATACAAATATATGTCCCACAACCCGAATCTATTTATGCAAAGCACACGAAGTAACTTTTGAGCCAACACATACACACGAACATATTCAGTGGCGGTATATATGCAGCGCATACTTATGTACACACAAATATGCAAAGGCATATGTGTGTGTGTGATTACTCTGCAGATTAATGAACACGCTCAGCAACTACTTAACTTCAAATCAATATTCACCAACACCTCGGCAACACCGCTGACACCTAACCAACTACATATAGTTAAATGCATGTGTGTACTTGCCTTTGCCTAGCCCATTGGTGTGAGCGTAGTCGACGGCGCCTGCGTCACCATAGACACAGCCAGTGGCACAGTCTGCGGCAGAGCCAGAGCTAGCGCTAATGCTAGAGTCACAGGCAATCGCCGCACCACCGTCACCACCATCACCAACGCCATCAGCAACAACATCACCATCGCCGACACCGCCACCGTCATCGTCGACACGTCCGTCGCTGTGCCGTCAGCAGTTCGATTCGAAATTGTTTTCTTGAAACTAGCGAATTTGAAATGCCAAACAGTCGTTGTTAAGAAGTGATTGTGGCCTCACACGCTCAACTCCAGCTCAGCTCAGCTCAGCGCTCAAGTACGGTGGCGAAATCGTTAAAGTAACCAATCAACCAGACAGCAAATTAAACGCCTGTAAACGTTTGTAATATTTCAAATTTGTTAACTGCAATACGCTGTAAAATCGGCGAGCCAAACAAATAAAAAAAGACAAAAAAAAAACAAAAACAACCGATTCAACAGACTCTTTGTGTAATTCCGCGTTTGTTCGTTGGGCTAAATTCGTTGATTGACGCTTTACGTTTTTAATTACCGTTAAAACACAGCACACACTCAACAAAATTCGAAAATGAAGTTCTTCAACATGTGAGTGTTTCCTGCTACTTATACATACATACATACATACTATTGGTAATATTGTTATTTTTAATGCTTTTCGTAATTATTAAATGGACTGCATAACTCATAATAGTTCATGAATAAGTTGCAATCACTTCGAATTCATAGCGGCAGTGCAGTGCAGTGAACTTGCTTTGATGTGGCAATCTTGCATATTTAAGTTCCTGAACAGTCAGAAGTATATGCATATATATATATATATATATATTGATTTTCAAATGCATTGAAACATAGAATAGTAATAAGGTGAAGTTGTGCAAAGCAAAGCTGTCGGAAATGCAAACACGCCAAGTATTTGGGTTGGACTACACACGAGTTCGTGTCTTAAGTCTTTCGATTCTCACACAGTGTTTGGCTGATTTACTGCATAAAATTTATCTGCGTTCGTTTATAAAGCATATGCATTTAGAGGTTGAAGAGGACCTTTGAGTTTATTAAATTACATATTTATACATTATACAAGTGCTGCACTGGTGATTGTCTGATGGTCTTGTAGCAATAACTTTAAATTTGCATTAAAATGTATTATTCGAGAATTTATTTAGTTATATTAGCATAAATATTTTTTTGTGCTAAGATGGAAAAAATTACTTAAAACTCATACATCTTTTGTTAAAATAAAAGTATAGCTGATTTCTTTATAAATAATTTTACTTATAAAATTTTTTCCATATACTTCGGTGTAATTCGACAGTACAAAATTTTTAATAAAGTTATAATAAATGTTTTTTTATCTAATAATATTTTAGTACCAATTTATTTTTATAATTTTGAAAAACTATTAACGAAAAAAGGAATATTTTTAAAGAATTTTACAAAAAAAAAAAAAAAATTGCTAACACATATGTGTAACATTCGCGCACGATTATATTGTATAAAGAAAAATTATCGAAATGTTAAAAAATTATCTTAAATTTTTATTTTACTTTTAAATTATTTCAAACTTAAAACAACACAATTTTTTTCGATCAGAATTTTTTCAGTGCCACAAATATTTCACTTTATTTATTTTTTATTAAATTCGTACTTGCATTAATGTATTTGTCTGATTTTAAAAGGGGGAAAAAAGTATTGATAATTTTTAAAACAGTTGTAAAAGTATTACATAATTCGCAAACATTACTTATTCAATTTAATATTGCATTATCTGTTGTTGTTTTTTTTAGTTTTTTTTTAAAGTTTTCATAAATCAAAATGTACTGTACTGTAAAATGTTTAGGGCTCAACTAACTTTTGTATTTTTATTATCTGTGTAGTATGAACTACAAAGATCAGACATTTAACAAATTTAATTCTTGTAGACTGCTAGTAATTATTAATTTATATTTATTTTTTCAAATAAAATCAATTGCTAAAAGTTAAGCAATAAATTGCCCACTTTTCGCTACTTCTTTCTTTCTTTCCTGCGCTCCTTAAAATGATAAAATAACTAAAAGCAACTAATACCTTTACCTGTATCTAAATATTTTTACTTGGAGCATTTTTTGCCTAAATAAGAGCACATAAATTGCGCCTTACTTGCGAAAACATTACCTAACTAAACTAAAACTAACTTAACCTAACATAATTTTATGTATAACATACACTTTAAAAACGATGTTTGCTATAGAACTCTGAAAAAATGTCTTAAACTACTCTTCTGCAAGCATAAATTACTTTAATATAAATTACATAATAAATATATAATAAAAAATGTATTAAAAATTATAATTATAAAGTAAATCAAATTATAAAAATATAATATTTACTATTAGAAGATAACTGTGAGGCTAAACTATTAAATTATTATAATTTAAGTAAAATTAGGTTTTTTAATGTGTAGAGTAAACGTGGCCTTAGTGTGGCAGTCGACTGAAGTAAATGCTGTGATTTGCAGGCTGATATAATTAAATATTTCATAAGTGCAAATAGTATTTGCTTGTCTACTATGTTTTCAAAATAAAAGTGATTTATTAATTTTGTATGAAATACTTTGTATATATCTGTTTATTCCGATATATCTAAAATCTATTTCATAATCATAAAATGACGCCGAAACTTTCTTTGGTTCAAGGCAAGCAATGATAATCACATATTATTCTCGTAAATTGTATTCTGCATAACTTGCTGCACACCAACAAACAGCATATACGCGACTCATCGAACAAGTCTAAAATTAACTGTTACTCGGCAAATCGTATGCATTATTATATAACCAGCAAAGATTATCGCTGGACAAACATGTTATTTAATTTCTTGAAACTTACTTGTTTCCCATGAGAAATCAACATGGCAATTTTGTTTGAAAAAAACGCCAAAACAGATATCAATGCAAAAGCAACAGCAACAACTACAGCAACACAAAACAACGCTACTAAAAGAAGATTTGCCTATTTGAACTTTACTATTCACTTTAAATTAACATTAATGGTTAAAATGGCAAAGTGCAAAACTGGTTGCAGACCATCGAAAAATAACTCAAAAAAAAAAGCTTGATGCTGAAAAAAAATTCAACAAGAGGCGCTGCAAATAAGACAAAAATTCAGAAAACACAATGTACCAAGTACAAAAAGTACGTCAAGTAGCAATGCTACAGAGCAGCGTCAATGCTTGGTTATGATGAAGAATCGGTTAAAAAAAAGTAGGGGCGCAGAGGGTGCGGGTGTAGACAGATGTAGCAGCTGCATTTGTAGTAGCAATAAAAATTCAATTAATTTTGACGAAATTTTATAAATAAGCACATATACATAAACATACATATATGTAAAAATTCAAACGTTGTACAAGTATTAGGCGTATATCATTGAAATTATTAATGAAGCAGAGAATAAATGATTGCAAAATAAATAAAATGTTTGCCAATACAAAATTAAGCGCAGACCATAATATTGTAGTTAAACTTGGATTTTAGCAGGACAAGTTAGAAAGTGTGCTAAATAATATTAACTAGTAAGTACGATTTTTGAAGAGCAAAATTCACCCAAATAATTCAACGTTGAAGCAGAGAATGTTAATGAAAATATTTAATAATTAACATTATCTGGTTCAAGTAACTCATAATGGCTTGAACATAATTCAAAACGCCTAAATTTTCGCTGAATATATTTCAAACAGCAGTTGTAGACAATGAAAAACCCCTTTCCTGTTAATAATAACGATATATTACGAGTATTGTTGGAACTCCAGTTCGCAATTAACGTCTTAAGAACGCACATAACTATGCGAAACCCACTGCAAGCAATAGTATGGGCCAGTGAGTACCATTATAAAAGCCTGTACTTTGGTGTTCTCTGTCATGTTGCGATTTTTTACAGTGTATATTTGTAATGTCGATTCTTTTTCAAAACTGACTCAAAAAATATTTAAAATTATATTAAATATGTTATTATGAACAATATATATGATAATTATATTTTAGAGAAGCTGGCTAGAAGATTTTGTTCAAAGAGGAGTGAGCGGAGCTTAGGATTATCTCGTAAATTCCACATTAGCAATGCGGCACCAATAAAACGTTAGTGGTGGATATGAGTCCACCGAAGAACTCATATGTAGTCTTACCATAACTAAGCTCCTCAAAGAATATTCTTAAATAAAAGGACAAAAACAAATCTAAGAGAGAAAATTGCTTACAGAAAGGCGGCTACACATTCTTAAATGTTGCTTCTTTTTAAAATTCTTACTGTAGTTTTTAGTGAGCGTTGTTCAGTCTCTTCAATGTGTGTATTTGTTTCAAAATATTTCGTTTAAACCAATCGATCTTTTATAAAAACTCTTGCTCAATTTATATACATATATGGTATATTAATTTACCTTTAATAACACTACAAAACTGTAAGCAATTATAAGTAAGTAATTAGGTGTTAGTATAGCATTTGCTAGCGATTTTCATACGACCCGATATACGGAGAAATGATTTCAAGGCCGTTTGGTATCACCGATTTGTCCATCGTCAGCTTTGTCTGCAGCTGCGGTACGAATAATCGCACAGCCACGGCAGCTGTCAGGGGCTAGACACACATACACACATCTATATAGGCACGCATGCACAGTGCATGCAAAAAGCGGTTGGACACGCGCTCGCAGCGCACCGAACGCTGCTATTTCGATTGCGAACGCAATACGTTATTTACATGCCACTTTTTTAGCGATTTTTTCTGCGTAAAATTGACTTGTAATTTTCAATTGCTTGTGGCCACTACTTTAAGCCAAAGTGGTACCCGGTGAACCGGCTTGGTGAGCGCGTGTGCAGCCAAAGCTATTTATATTCGCATTGCAAATTATTAGTTTAATTACAAATTTAACACGCGTTTAAATTAACGGCTCCAGCATGCCAACGCACACACATACACTCACACACAAATACGCTCACGCGGAGTTGCGCCGCCTGGCCGCCTGGCAGACAGATGTAGGCAAATGATATGCTTGCAGCAATGCTGTTTAATTTCAAATATTAATACGCACTTATACATGCTTATACATACACATATATGTTATTATGCATTTGTGTGTGTGTGTGAGTTTATGAAAATTTGAGCGTGCCGTGATTACAGCAACCGCCGCAGGCAATGGCAAACGGCATTTTTGTAGTCATATTGAGCGATTACACTTACGGTTCGAGAGATTTCTGTGCTAATACAGGATTAAATTGTTTTAAAATATTTCAACTCAATACACAAAAACAAAAATAAACATTAACATTTTAAAAATATTTCCATTTATGCATGACTTCACATGGAATATTTCAAATTGTGCAATTTTGGGCAACGAGTTCATAACAAAATTAGATTATAAATATTAAAACAAAAGTAAAAAGTAAAATAAATCAAATAATGTTTTTTAAATACAATATAAATATTTTATATGCAAAAGACAGCAAGAGTTAAGAGAGCGAGAATTTTAGTTGCGCCAACGCCGCCTCTAAAGGCTTCTTTTCTGAATTTTCAATTTTGCGTAAAGTTATTGGTTTTATTTTAACCAACAATTTGTTA